GATTCAAAAGAGGCAATGTAGTCGGGAAATGGAACATCGACATCGATAACACCATCATCGGCATTGATTGATGTCTTGACTGGAGACTCAAAGGCGCCAGTGGGATCTGGTGTCCTGTCAGCCTGAGTAAAGGATTTTCGAGTGCGCTCAGCGTTTCCTCGCGTCGCATCGACATCCCTAGCATTACTCGACTGACGCAGGTGTGCCGACGACTTCCCTGGTACTTCTTCATGAGGGGCGAGCTCACGGCCCATGTCAGACAGTCTGTTCGACTGGGGAAAGCCTGCTTTGATTGGCGATCGGAGGTCGCTAGCTTGGCTGTAAGTGCTGCCGCTATCCATAGACTCACGACGGCGTGCATTCCATAGCCCGCTCATTATGCTACTCCATCGCAGTCCTTGGCTTGGCGGGCGAGAACCTCCAGCACCGCCGCTCTCTCCCCTTTTGAGAGATCGCTTCAGGTCATCTGCCGCTGCGCTGCCACTACTTCCCGGCCGCCGCCGCCTAAGGCTATCGGTCCGTTGAATAGTTGAGAAATGCGGCGTGGTTGAGTCCTGCATGATGGTAGAAGTAGCAACGCTACTTTTCCGGGTCATCAGGTCATGGCCTGGGATGGGAAGGCCAGGAGTTCGAATGGAAGCTGCATCAGAAGCGCGCCTGTGGTGACTTGAGGGATCCGTAATGTTCAAGTGTCCCATCTGGGACGACAAGGTTCCACTCCGGGTGCTCTGGCTTGCTGTTCTGGAGTGAGAAGTGCGCCCAAAGCCGGTGCGGCGGTTAATCTTGCGGCGAAGCGACTCCTCTCGTACAACGGGGACAACATATGAAGGAGGCGAATTTGAAAAGGCGCCAACCGAAGCACCCGACGTGCTTGGTCGATGTACTCGAGGGCCGTGGACTTGTTGGTTCGCTGGCAAAAACGCAGAAAGCAAAAAGATGATGCGCCGTGCGGCCATTTTGTCCTCCGAGATGATAATAGTCCGCGCTGGCAGCGACAAATCATCCTCATTTTGATTCTGTTTTCGAATCAGTGCTCGTCGGCGGTAGGTAGGAGAGCTGAGTGCCTGCAGCCAGTCGACATGGGTGGCCAAAAAGCCGGTAAGCAGGGTATGAAGGAAGACGCCTTGGTGTAGGCCGGCAGCCCATTTGCAAGTCCAGATGGCCTCGTCACGCCAAATCCCCCAACGCCCCTGTCCAGTGACGACACGGGAAGCACTCAAACCCATTACAACTCTGGTCCTGGCAAGACCGACTTCTGATGCAATATGCACATCGTCTGAGAGACAGTTTGGGAGCAGAGAGACAAGTTTGGTAGTGCTCTTGGACGGCTTGATCCGAGACTCATCCAGTCGCCCACCGGTGGTAACGGACGGCCTTCTGGAGCTCAAATTTGCCGAGTACGGCCCCGGAGATGCCATGTCGGTTTGTTTGAGCATGGTGTGTAACCTGAATGAGACGACAGATTGGAGATGGGTCAAGGTGCGCATGACAATGTCCCAGTGCTTCGTAAGCGAATCGATGCGGTCCTCGACGTCGATGGAGAATGACGAGTCTGTAGCTTCGCCATAAAGGCCCGACCCCGACATATTCCAGCCAGACGCACGAGTCGAACTGTAGGACGAAGAGAATAGATCTTGGTCATTGTACGATCCCGGCTCGCGAAAGACAGGCTTGGGGGGTACGGCCGAAGACATGCGTGACGGAGAAGGTGGGAGCTGTACGACAAGGACTACAGCATACATTGGCGTGCGCCTCTGTTTTGGCTGTGGCTTCTTCTTCTTGGCCGCAGACTCGTCGCCGGTTGGCGGAAATGGAAAGCCCCCATTATCCTCTGAATACCGGCTTGGCGGTGTGACAGTATCCAAGTCATCAGCAGCAAGAGTTACGGGGAAGAGCCGAGTGATGAGGACTTTCTTTCGCTCACTCTGGCGTGGGGTAGACGCGCCGGTGGGCAGTGGTGGATGTGTTGGAGACATGGTCTGAGAAGAATAGGACTGGGACAGCTTGCTTGAGCGCCCACTAGCACGCCCGATAGAGCTGCGGCCATCCCCAAACACTGAGCTGCCATACTCTGTTGTGCGTGGCTCGGATGGCACGACATGGACCTTTGTGGAGGTGCCTTTGTAAGCCATGAGCTCCGAGTTGCCAAAGATGCAGCTGGAGAAGGTAGCCAGCTCCTCTCGATACTCGCGTGCAGCTCGCTGCCCATCAGTTTCTCCAAAACTGGGGCTACGGCCATGTACCGAGGCTCGGCGATCAAACGCCCCTTGGCGAAGCTGAGAGCCATCAGTATGAATGCCTGTTGGGCGTGGAGCCTGGCTTTGGCTTCCCTTGCGAGGCGAAAAGGGGGCCGGTCTTTTGAGATCCTGAGTGGCAGTAGAATGCCTTTCAGCGGAAGCTGCGGACTCGGGAAGAGGGTGGCTATCGTAAAGCAGAGATGCATTAGTGGGACCCAGAGCATCCTGCATGATGATGACGCGAACGTCCTTGACATCGAGTTCGACGTCATCGTTGTAGTCGAAAGCGTTTGCTGGTGATGCGGTAGAGGTTACCGGAGGGGCAAAGAAAGGAAACACTTGGTCGTTGCGGTGTTGATAGAGATCCTGGGCGTCGGGGAAAAGCAGGTTGCGGGTGTGAGAGTCTTCCTGGACGGATTCCAGGGAAAGGATGGGTCGTGAGCCATTGTTGGACTGAGTAGGACCTGTGGACTGGCCTCCGGAGCCGAGATGCAGAAGCCTTCCTAGCATATCGTGCGGTGACGGCCAGTGAGTGAGAGTCGAAGGTGAAATTGGAATAAATGAAAAGAATTGTCGAAAAAGATGCGAATATCAATATCTAAAGGACGGCAGATGAAGCTAAACACGGCGCGGATGATGCGGAATACCAGCTTCGGTGAGAAAGTTAAACCAAGCGATGCGCCCTCACAAATACTGCTGAAGTCGATACATGGCGGCGGTACATAGACATGTTCGTTCTTGCTTATTCCTTTCTGTTGCCCTTTTTCGCCTTCTTTTAAGTTGGTTCAAGTCCCGTCAGGCGCCGGTGGATTCAGCCTCTTGAACGAAATTGGATTGTGAGTCGCAAGCCGTGTCACCAGGATTCTGACTATGACAAAAGTGCTGAAATTGAACGACGGTGGCACACAACCACGCAACAGAGACAGCCCTAGCGAGAGGCCGGATATCAGGAGGCGATTAGTCTGGCCCAAAAGATGACGATCATAAAAAAGCGAACAGGCGAGTCCTGAGTCTGGCAGCCGGTCCGGGGGCTCTCGAGGCAAGACACGCAGCAAAGCCGGCGATGGCAGCCGGAAATCGCAGGGCACGTGCGTGAAGGGAGATGCTGGGGATGCGATGCAGGGGCGCTGGAACTGCAGCGCGAATGCGATGCGATGCGGTGCGGTGCGAGGCGATGGTTCGTGCTGGTATAAGTATTGGCTGCGAGAAGCAACGGGAATCGCCCCTCCAGAGGCGAATTGCTTGCGTCGGGACGAGGCCTATTCGCGAGGCAGCTCGAGCCCTTTTTGTTGGTGATGGGCGAATGGAGAGGAAGAGGTTGGCGGAACCCGAGCGCGGTGGGGTGGGCAGAAAAATGGGCAGCCGACAGGTCCCCTGCCAGTGAAGCGCCAGCACGGCCAACTCCCGCTAGCGCTCAGAGGCTTTTAGTGGGCTCTGGGTGGGCTGGCAGTGGGCTGGCAGTGGGTTGGGCAGCGGGCTAGGCGGTGGGCTAGCAGCCAAGTGGGCTTTGACGTTGTTCTTGGTATAGGGCTCAGCGGGCTGGGCTCCGGGCCTGTGGTAATACATACAGGGAGAGCGCCAGGCCGTGGTTACGCAGCGCAGCTCAGGAAATTCCCGCGAAATCGGCATTGATTGACTGGTTGAGAGGGTGGCTGATCTACATAATGCCACTAGGTAGGTATGTACAGCAGCCTTTGACAATGCCATGGAGGTGCTGTTCATCTTGACAAGCACTAATCTGCAGATGATTGCATGCCGTAGTTTCAGCTGCCACAGATTGTCCTCGTGAGCGATGGAACAACAAGGTTCTTTTTGCTGTCAAGGGGCCCCGTCCCGAACGCTGCTTTAAATTTCCTCTTCGCTAACCCAGACTCTGGACAGCGCAGCGCAGTAGCCGCGGCGGAGAGAGCGCGGGGCGCGTTGTGCTGTGGATATTGATGGAATTGAATGGATCTCACTCGGCGTTGGTGCTACTTGTGCGACAAGCACAGCCACCAGCACGATCCGAGTACCTTGGAGCTGGAAGCTGCTGAGGCGGTGGGTACGCTGTATGCACATCCGAGACCCAAGTCAACCGCAAATGGCAGATCATAAGGCGCCTCTCCGGTTTGCGTTATTAACGCGCTGCCGGCGATTGGCCCCAGATCTGTGATTCATTCCCCAGGGCTATCTGCATCGGTTTTTGACTTTCTTCCACTCGACTGCACTGATAACAATACTTGTACATGTGTTGATACGAGATAATGACTTGGAGAAAACAGGCTGTAATACAGTATATATGTATATGTAGTGAGGTCATAGTATTGCAAAGCCCAGTCCAGCTTAGTTCATGCAAATGCTTGTTTCTCGGCATGGAACTCGGCCCTCAGCCCGTCAGGTACCAGACCAGCCCGAGATTACTTGCGCTCATCAAGCACAGCTTGCTTGCCCTGGCCCCGTCTATCGTTACTAATCCAGCAGAGTCGCCCATAACAAAGCAAGCAAGAAAAGAACGAAGCATCAACGTCACTGTTCCAGCCCCCATTCGCACATCAGCCGCCATCCATCCAATCAAACCAGCTTGAGACACTTGAAATTCTATACAACGCCGACTCTTCATCTCTGCTGCTGCCTCCCCGTCTGCCCAATGATGCCATCGACTTCCCATCGCCCAAGCTGCGGTAGAAACACCGTCTCAGCCCATCATTCCCCAGCCCACTCACACTGTTTGGCACGCAGAGTCACTCTGGCGGCGTCAGCGCGAGGGATGCGATGCTCACATGCCACCTCGCAAGGAAGGGCCTTGCTCCGGTCTTGTTGAGCAGTTATGAAACACAAGCTACGAAAATGCGGTGAATGCAGGCAAGCCGGCAAGCGCAAGTTTATTATGGAGTCGGCGGCTGGCTGGCTTGGACGTTGGCGGCGCTTTTCGGCCCCCTCCACCATCCCTTTCTTGCATCTGCTTGCCGTCCGCTTATACTATGGTGCACAGCAGTAGTATGTAGTTCTATTAGTCTATGCTTTTGCTCTTTTGCATTGACATTTGCGAAGTCTGCCACAGGCAAGTAGGCACTAACTATTATTATCCACCCCCGCTTGGCTTGATGCGCGCTATAAGATGGTTCCTCGACCGAATGACCAGGCCTGCCACGGCGCATCGTCTTGTTCGGGCCCATATCCACAGCAGTGCTGATCTCGTGAGGGCCAGAGCTCTCGATGATGAAAATCCAGGGTCCTCGATGGGTCTCGCTCGACCTTTTTTTTTCGCGGCAGCGGCAAAAGAGAAAAATAAGAAATAAAGGAAGAAGGAAAAAGGTTTGCCACTATTCCGTACTCTTGTTAGTACCCATCGTGTCGATGCTCCTCTAAACTCTGCATGAACAGCTCGCCATACGCAGGTTGCATCATGCCCAACGGATGTGCAGCATCGCTGCGGAGATGACTCCTCCTGGCTGCTGCAGCGCTGCGAGATCGCCTGGCCTTTGACATCATCATCATCGCGTCTATCTCTGTGTGTCTCTCTCTGCTTCTGTCTCTGCTTCTGCAGCTCCCAACACGTCAAAACTCGACAGGGGGGCCAGGAAAGCAGCACGTACGCTTTATCAGACTCCCGACAGAAGGGCGAATTAGAGGACCCAGGCATCAACGGGGCCAACAGGCTCGCGATACCCAATGGGCTTACGGACTTCTCTCTGCCCTCCAAGGCTCGTGGAAGTAGCATTCACGCGCCTCATCCGCCGTCCAGGCGTCCAGGCGTCCAGGCCATTCATTACTCGGCCGCCCCGAGCGACAGACCGTCTTTTTCACCTCCTTTCTCTCATGGACTTGGATGGATGTACAATTACTCAGTCATCTGCTTCGAGCCGGCCGCTAGAACTGCTAGTACGATGGTCCGAAGATCGCCTAGGCGCCGTTAGCCACTCGAATGCGTTGCATCACCTGTCGGTGTCCTAGGCTGCTCTAACTGGTCTCTGTCCAAGTACCGGCCCGACATCACATTGCAGATGGCCGGGCATGTCGTACAGCATGCTGCAGGTAACTAGGAGACCAGGAGGCCTAGCAAGTGAAAAAAAAAAATCTGACTGTCGCCTGCTTTAGCGAGAGGCACGGCCCATAATTAGAGTGTCCAGCACTGACTAGTAATTACCAACCTGGTGCGGAGTGCCGAATGCCATGTCTATATGTGAAGACACGGCGGGCGGGACAATATGATGTGGTCGCGCATACACATACATAATCATTATGCAGCTACGCCCGCATTCTATTAGGATTCTTTCTTCTTGCGGCAGCCGTGCATCAAGCAGTCTCGCAGCGTTATCGCTCCTAGGTACAATAACTGTGCTCCACGGAATGACAATGGCCCTCGGCTCGGTAGTTCAACAGGCGAGGTATACAATGCTGATGTGGGTGGACCCAGAGGGCCGCGAAGCAACGATGTGCCAAGAGCGGAGTCGAGTTTCCGGAGAAGTGCTCCTGTATTGTAGGTTCTGTGTGCTGTATGTGATAAACGCCGATGAGGGATATTACTATGGCACTAGTATATCCTCGACAATCCGATTTCCCAGATCTCCGAAAGGGATTTCTCTATGTGGCAAGGGCCGTGCTGGAGCTAGATGGCGCCGGAAAGCACGAGGCTCAGCTCAGCACCCTATTATTAGGATCTCCCACCAGTATCGTTATGAGAGCAGTGGCGGCGGGACTTTCCTGTAGTTTAGCTCCTTAGTAGTTGTTGTCAGGCTCGTGAACTGCCTGAGTCGCGAAGCTTTGGAAATATCGCCAGGCGACCCAGATTCACGGGCCCACTGGTCTGCCGCCGGTGGCATATGGACACGGCATAGGGCTTCAGAATTCCATTTCCGTCCCTGCTGCCAAGAGGCGAAAAATGATTATATTTGTGGTGCTCAAGTAAGAGCTGGCAGCTGCTGCTGCAAAGACCCGTTCTAGTCATCGAGGTTGACGCCTTATCCGTGCTTACTGTACCTTGTTTTGTCCAAACAAAGTACACCAATTGAGATGCAAACATGGACAAGGATCCAGACAAGAAGAGTAAACATTGATAGACAAGATGTTCACGTCTGCATGGTGTGCGTTGTCTGCCCAGCCTCTGTGCCCTACAATGTGTTACATTCGGCTAGCATCTCACACAGCCTTAGGCATGGGATCATCCGTCTCTATGCGACTCATCATTTCCGGAGCTTTCCGGCCAAAGCGGAAGGAATGTTTGTCAAAAGTGATACTCTTTGGTGCTGCCCGCTCCGCTGCCAATCCATTTCTCAACGAGCAAGGGAATATCCACAGTGAAAGTGCCCAGTCCCACTAGATGCCGACGCCACGACTCATTGACATCGATCTCATCCAATGAGAGTTCCAAAGTTTATTGCCACTCTGCTAATAGGGTATTCTTCTAGAACAATTCGCCGTCGTGCCTTGGCAGTGGCTTGAACCTCTAGCCGAGATCAAATCTTCCGAGCCTTATGCCAGGCGTCTCTTATTATTAGATCCAAGCACTATCCCTGAATGGCAGTTGCCACTACATACATTCGAGTTTCTATTTTCCTCTTACTTAATAGCTTCAACTGCTCCACCAGTTGAGCGGAATTACCGTCTGCTTACTCTTGTTCACCGAGAAAGATTTAAATCTGAAATAAGGGAGTGGTGCCGCAGAACGTAGCAAAAATACGTAGCCGATGTAATGATATCATAGATGGCGGCAAGAAATAAGCATAGTAGGCAAAGTAGCGATACTTACGACAGACAGTACCAAAATGTATATATTGTAATATAAGGAGTGCTAGTCTATATCATGCTTAAGATGTCATCTTATTTACTATAAGTCTCGTTGTTATTATAAATTTCTCCTTGTTTGAAAGAAGATGCTGCGTCTACTAGATCTAGAAACATCTAAAAGCTTTCACATCTTTACCATTAGTTAATTATCTTCCAGTCTCACCGATAACTTCTTTCAACCTCCACATATGAGATGGCATGCCCCAGCTGAATGATATCAGATGCATAAAAAGAGTAAGCGTACGATGAACGGCTAGGCAAGCCAAGGTCATCTTGACAGACCAAACTTGTCTAGAAAAGAGTTATAAGTATTGGATGTTAGAATCTAGTTCTTATTGGTGCTTTGCCTTATCTATATGAGCTTCGTCAACCAGCAGCAGCTTAAACTCAACTTTATCCAAAGCTGATCGTTGAAGCTGACATTTCACTAAGTTGCCATCCGCCACAGCACGTGTGCTTTTTTAGAAACTCGTATAATTAGTAGATTTGATCGTCTTCACCCGTGCGGAATGTACTTGAACAGTTATCAATTTTCTGCTACCACTGTGGCTTTGCCCTTTCCTCGGTTTGTTATTCGTCTTGATTGTTCGTCAGACGAATCCTTCTTCCACGCCTCTGTACCGGGACCAAGGCAGTGACATAACAGCTAAGTAGTAGTAGCAAGAAATATCTATATGATAGCCAAAAATGGCAATATGCTTACCAACTGAATCAAACCAGCGCCGACAATACAGATTTCGTCAATGGAAATGAAAGCTATGCAAGAAGCTTCCTGAAAACCTTCTGCAAAGATTGCTGGGTGTATGGCGGCCATATTCTATCTTGATATTTGCGGGGTAGAGATCGAGTTCTCTCTAGTAGCTAGAAGAGATGATGTTGTAGTGGGAAATATATTCCATACATACGCAAAAGGAGGCTAGATAGCCAGCAAGCTTCATAGCATAAACCTACTGCGCAAGGCGATGATACCCTATCTAGCAAGTATTAATCACCAACTGGGACACCAACTGGGACAAGAAGTACGACTGCGCCGGACTGAGGCAGACATCAGTCATTCCGAATTTTACCGCAGGGCGGTGTTGTTGGTCCGAATACAATAGCCATATGCGCAGAAGTAATAATGTTAACAATTCTGATGTGTGTTTGCATTATTTTTGTTAGTTGCTTTACCGTATTATATGAAAGCTTATAGTTTTCATAATGTAGCAGCATTTAAGCAAAAGTATGTACCTAAAGGGACTGCTTTCCAGATCTACTTTATTAATGGAGGCGATTTTGATCTAGGTAGATAACCATGATACCTGTAAACAAGAGCCATTATCATCTGATGCGTTCAAATCCAGATAGTCAACGATTTCGGGGATTTGGCTCATGTTGGTAGTTATACGCTCAGTGATGTCACCCATTATCGTGTGTGCGTCTTATTTACATGTATCTATGGCACCTATAAATACTATATCTTCAACATGATGGAGATTTTGCAAGGGAGGCCCCTTACCCGGAAAACTACTTTGCAAATGGTAACAGCAGCGCGCAAGAGCGTTTACAGTGATTGACAAAATTAGCCTCTTAGAGTACCAACTGCAACTGCCATCATCTTGGAGGATTCGCGATGTGTTATCGGTGACACATTTATATCCAACACCAACAGCAAGATAACTCTATAGTCGTCACACGCCACCGCCTGAGCGGATATACATCTCGAACTACCAAATAGACCCGCCAGAACATATACTACAAACTTGTTCCAGATCTCGCTCTCCTTGAAGGGATTTTTCAGGAGGAAGAAGGTCATGGCATTGACCAGGAATTTCACAATTACTTGAAATCATATATCCCATAAACTCGCAAAGAGGTTACGAAAAATAGAGAAGCGCGATTACTGCATGAACGTAGCTATGAAAGATTGCGACATCGCCATGCAGAATGATGACCTCACACATGTATACAAGGCCTCGCTGATATCCTGCCCAATCTGCTGGTGGAATACAGCAAAGACAAAACCATGGCTTCCAAATCTACCCGACACAAAACCATATCATCGGAGGCAGACTCGAAATGAGCCAAACTAAACAGGATCATACCTCTTGACACTGTAGCAGAATGAATGATAAGGTAGATAGCATCTCAAAAGTACCGCCGTAAAAAGGAAACCGTTTAGACTCCAGGTTTAATAACATGGTTTGACGGAGATCTGCTACATTAGCTGTCTCATTCGCTTATGAAGTTCACAGTAAATGAGTGAATATGCAGTTTCACTAGTGTGATGGCGGTTGTCTGAATCCATTGGTAAAGCTGCTCATGTTCCATAATAAGAGACAGGGTTCACTTGGTAATGAGTAGTGCTACTAAGAATATAATCTTCTTTAATAGGGCATCGAAATGGCGTTAATAGGATCTGCTCGTTATCTGCAAGATCCCAATAGCCTTGGAAAGTTCCGCGCTTCAAATTCAGTGGTATCTTCTTCGTGAGTACGTTGTTTCGGCCGCCCAGGCTCACACGATCTGGTGGAAATACGGGGTGCTGCTGTTTTGCTTTCGTTCTTCATCTCATCTTCTAGCCCCAACTCAGTTGGACTTGATCTTTACAGCAGATCCCGCAGGCGGTGCATTTGAAGAGCCCCCCCTTATTTTCACTTGCCAACACGCGATCTAGGCGCAAGACTTATTATTAGTAGTACTTGTGTGCGTATGCCCTATCGGCGGTGTTGGTTGGCTGGGGCCGGAACAGAGCGGGGAGCATGGCGAGAACCTTGATGGCCTCAGCCTACCCCCTTCCGGAGCACAGGCATTATTAGATTAGAAATACCGCCAACCCAGTTTCAATTTCATTCTTCTCCACCTGACAATGCGCGCTCAGCAAAATCTGTCAACTTGTTTGTGAATCGTGTCCTACAATAACAATCCTGTTAAGCGCGCACGACAACCATGGATGCTATGGTCGCTATATCTGGATGCGCTGTCAAATTTTCTGACAGCTGCTTACGAGAATTCTTCATTCTTGTGCGGATTTACCGAGACACTTGATACAGCGAGATGTGTGCAATGACGACTATTCTCTCTCTCAACTTCTCTCAATTTACTATTCTCAAGCCAAGATGAGGCTAATACCTAGCTCTTTTCATACACAGCATATTATTCTCTCAAAGCCGGTAATGCCGCCAGATTAGGACATGTGTATCGGAGTGCAGCACCTCATTCCGCCACACTGGCTTCCACACAGAATCTGACACTTGGAATCGTTATTTGGGCGTCTCTGCGTCGGCGCTCCAGCATCTGAGCCCACAGATACCGATGTGCTCAGGGTCTCTGGCTCGCCATGGGCGTCCTGAACCTCTGGCTGCAGCGTTGCTGAGTGGATGCCATACGCGTGAAGACATTCCATGATTACCTTGGCCTTGTCTGTGAAACTTTTGACGGTTCTACCGTCGACAACGACGTGTGCAGACGCGATAGACTTGCGCTGGTCTAGTCGCCAGATGTGAAGTTCATGGACAGACTCAATACCAGGAATCTGCGGCAGTGTTCATCGTCAGCTTTCATCTTCACTGCAACAGGAGCTGAGAAAGGTGTTTGCACCTACCATTTCGATATCGTGCTTTACATCGTCGAGACTTATCTCGTTGGGGGCAACTTGCAGCAGAATGCGACCGCTGTTCCTCGTCAATGGCCAAGCGGTCAAAAAAATCATGATAGAGATGAAGACGCCAATTGCAGGATCGGCATAGTATCTCGCTTCTCCATGGGCTTTCCATATGATGAGGGCTGATGCTATGACACCAATGTTATTGATGGCATCACCGACTACGTGGATGAGGACGCCAAACATCCCCAAATCTCTACCAGGGCGAGATGGTGTCACCGACACATGTCTATGCTCATGGTGACCGCTAGAAGCCTTTGGGTCTTGTTAGGATGAAGCATTTACCGCTCGACAAAGAAGAAGTCTCACCGATATCGATCGCGCTTCTAGTTCAGGCGCTGTTCCATCATTCATCCTAGTGGCAGCGTCCTCCTCGTGCAGCGTTTCTTGCCTATGGTCGCTATTATGCTCATGTTCGTGTTCATGCGCGTGGCCGTGGTCATGTCCGTGACCGTGGCCGTGGCCATGATCGTGATCGTGTTCTAAAAGAGGATATGTTGGGACTTCCTGGAGATTTACGAAAATGATTCGGGGTTTAGCTTACCGTGCAGAAAGGACAAAACCAGCAGATTCAATCCCAAACCAACGCTTCCGACGATTAGGACGATCTTGGGTTGATCGACGACTGCGAGTTGGTTGAACTGTCAGCTCGATTCAACTATTCTGCAACTCAAATGCTGCCTCTCACCAGTCACGTTAACAAACCGCTCAATGGCTTGAACGAGGATACTGACGCCGAGCGCCAAAAGGAATACTCCGTTAAAAAATGCACCCAAAAGGGTTGCACGTGCCCATCCAAACGTCAAGTCTTTTGGTGGCGGAGTTGGATGCTCGGATATCTTAGAGAGACGCATCAGCTATTGTGCTCTTCTGAGTATCCAGGGAGAGGGGGAGGGCGGACTATGACGGCAACCAAAGCAACTACAAATCCAATCAAGTCGCTCAGCTACAAACGAATCAGCAACAATCTCAGCTCAAATGTCAATTTGTCGTACATAATGGAACGCATCCGCGATCAGCGCAAGAGAATGCGTATAAAATCCGGCTTTGCATCAAGGTTAGAGCGGTTGGTTATCTGGAAGCGTGGCGAAAAACACACCAATGAGCTCCGCCACGAAGAACGAAAACGAAATGGCTATCGTCGCGAGTAAACGCTGTTTACGACTCATTCGAATCGCCATATTGTCGGGGTAAGGGAGGCTTATCTGTCCCCTATTGTGAGTGAGAGTACTGGTGGCGATGTGGTGTCCTCTGATTAAACGAAAGCGACATCTACTATGGCCAATTTATTTGAAAAAAGGGGATGAGAAATTTTCCAATCGGCCGCGACAACTCAAGTAGGGGCTTCAATCGCTGGCAAACGCACGGTTCCGTTCAGGAGCTCTAATATGCCTAGGGCGGGGCTATTTAATACCACCTTGTCACTACGCGGCTGGATGGGATACGGGCAGCTTTAACACCAAAGCGGCCCGAGTCGCTACCTGCAAAGTAGTGTTTTACAATTCAATGTGTCAAATGCCATGCTGCGAATCGCGGCAGACATTCTGGGTTGCTTTCGGGCCACTTCCGGGCCACTTCCGGGCCGTCCAGTACAAACAAATACCCGATCAAGGATAACAATAACCTACCTTCGATCGGCGTGAAACCTTCCACAGAATGCGTACTCTGGGGCTTAGAGAACCAAAATCGGATTATCATTGCCGTACAAGAGATACAGGGTCAGGCTGATGGTGCGTGTCTGCCAAACAGCCAAACCTACGACTCTGCATGGTGGGCTGCTAGCGGGGATATGTTTCATTCCTGTCAGCTCTAAAGCGTTTATGGCCTGATTTCGTTTATCCAGGACTTCTCATCTTCACAAGTAGTATTTATTGCCTGCATGTAAGAAGGATTCTATTTCAACTGTTACTAAGCCCATTGTCTGGCCAGCCTCGTAATTGCGCCGCTGGGAGCGGTGGGGAACAAAACTCTTTGGGCGCTTACATCATGGCGATGCGTAGATGGAGTTCTCAGCTGGATATCGGTCATTGTAGCTCCGAATTGACTCGGCCGTCGGTGATCCGAGGACAGTCCGTACTCAACTTTGATGTTTTAGGTGATGTGCACCTTGTATACCCTCGCCAAGCAACAAAAATGGAAGAAATTCTACTAGGAAGGTTATCACCAACGTAAAATTCCTCGACTGTTTGTCTTCTCGGCACCTCCTGTTAGACAAGTCATAGCATAGCAATGATTTGGCTTGCTTGCCGGAAAATAAAAGCCATCCGTAGTGAGGCGGGACTGAGAAGCAAACGTAACAATGCAAACTCCGAGTCGCGCAAATCTGGTATCCGCGCCTTGACCAAAATGCTACTAAAGCTATATTTATACCGATATTGGTATTATTCCATATAAACAAGGCAGAGCTTATATAGCTAGACTTTGCCATCCGAGTCAGCTCATCTGGGGAAATACTGGACAATGAGACACTGCGAGTCTAAGCTGGCCTTGGCTTGTGCCCCACCGCCGAGACAGCATGTCAAGTACTGCTGAGGTACGTACCTACCTGCTAGGCCATTAGTACTACCTTGGATGGATGGAATGAGCAGGCGGTGAAAATCCCTCGGCTGCTACAGCTCCATTTCTGCCGCTCGCTCAGCTACCGCTATCTGCCATCTCCAATTGTCGCGCGACTGCATCAACGGCAGAGCTGATAAGCATCTCGGCAGCTGCTCGCGAGCTATGCGCCCATAGAACAGCCTCTCTATGATTCCCGCATCGTGATTGCGTCCGAGTCGACTCCATGTCCCGAAATGTCGGCGCAGTACCATCGGCTCCGCGGAGGGGACCGCATTGGTCCCATCACCTTCGACAGTCGAGCACCAACTCGGATCGCGCATCCGAAGCATCACTCGCCTCGCCAAGGAGCATGTCTACGCACTCGACTATAAAGGATGCCAAAGATGAGAAGCCGCGCAAGGCTGAGCACTACTGCGCTGTCACAGTCAACGAAGGATATTCGCGGGACGAGGTGCTGCTGAATTTGGACTTGATTGGCGGCGATATCAAACCGGGCACCTTGATGTCCATTGCTGTCGTGAAGTCGGACCTGTCAAAATCGTCGGCGGGATATGGAAGCTATAAGAAGCTGGCGCATGACGATAATAGCAGCCTGCGATACCAAAATGCCGGTCCTTGCGATCCGAACAACTTGGGGCATCAGTATATCTTTGTCGCAAAGGATATGCCCAAGGAGGTCAAGGCCCGGCAGCCTGAGGCGGAAGTATACGTTGTGAAGCACATTGCAGACACTTTTGGGATGAAGAAGGGGTCCATTGTTCTGCTGACACCGGTACGCTCACTCACACCGGTCTATGACATATACGTACGTGCGAATGACTTCATGTGGCTGACCTGCATTCTCTCCTAGGTTGACGACGACCACCCAGTTACCGAAGCTACGCACGTTGAAATGATCTTCAAAGATCAGTATCTCTCACGAGCGGATATGTGGAGGGTGGCTGTCGGGGAGCTTGCGCAGAGGACGGTGTACAAGGGACAATCACTTCTCTTCATGGGCACCATAAAGGCTCAGGTCACTACAGTCTTTGCTAATGGGAATAGCGTCCATTCTGGCTTCTTTGGTCGGGAGACGCGACCAATATTCCGCAGCGAATCGGCCAGATTTGTGCTTTTCATCCAAATGTCCAAAGAAATGTGGGACTTTGACTCTGACAGCTCCGGCGAGATCATGTTCAATAAAGTTGTCAACGGATTTTTGCCAGCCCTGTTTAAGAAGTGGGCTACGCTCAAAGTAAAACACTTAGTTAGCATTGTGCTGTTTGCGCGTGTCGAATATGATACGGGTCTGACGAATGAGCTGGACGTGAGCGGGCTCCAGTCGGACTACTATACGGGAATCCAGTCCTATGGGAATCGGCGGCCGTACAAAGACTTTTATCGAGTGGTGGTGAGCGAGATGGCCAGTGGAGAATGGACAAAAATCCTATTTCAGTTAAAGAAAGAACTCAACTATTTTCGAAGAGACATCACTTTGCATCACCAAACAGCAAATCCATCAGACGGCTCCAAGGACACTGCGTCCGGGAATGAACCTGTCAGTCGAACCAAGGCCGAATCTTCCTTTTCCATCCACGGCAATATCCTAGAAGCCATCAATCTCGCGTGCGCCCAGTTCTCTCACGATTACATTGACCGGGACTTGACCAGGACAGGCATCTCCGTCGCTGTCATTAGTCCTGGCGCCGGTATCTTCGAAGTGGATTATGAGACACTACGAAGAACAACAGAGGCCCTTGTAGGGAATGGCATTGGAATTGATCTGATTTGCATGGCTCAAATGCCTCTACATTCCGTTCCACTATTCAAATATCGGAATCCGCGATTCTCATTAGCGGGAGATTTATCTCAAGATCGACATCATTCGCTATCCAGGTCCTTTCACAGTCGTGAAAGCACGCCAAATCAGCAAACTCCCGTCGTTGGAAGCTTTCAGTCTGGCGGCGGTTCGTTCTCGCCATCAAAGAGCAGAGATATGATACGCCGCGTTGAACATGTTGATTCTCAAAGTAGGCGTGACGAATGGTGCTATGTTCTGCCTCAGTGGCTGCATGTTTCGTTCTGGACTGGTACTTCGAACGAAGCACTCTCGTACGCAGGCGTTGCTTTGTCCGTGTCCAATCGAGTGGAGCAAAACGACGATGACGATTTCAGAATAAGATGTCGTATGTACGACCTCCAAATGAGGAGTGCCCTTGATACAAATGAGATCGAAATCACGCCCCTGCATTCGGATATTAATTATCCCAGTAGCATCTTTGAGAATAGTAGCTTCTCAAAGAGACGCCAAGAGGCCATTGGCGACCTCTGGTATAACCCACCGAGTCGCCTTTCAGATCATATAAACGAAAATATTCATGGGTTTCAAAGATTCGCCCCTGACAGGCTTGGTCGACCTTCGGAAAGACCATCATGGAAGCAACTACAAGATTTCGATGACTCCAGAGCCATCTTGACTCACCATAAGCGTCATAACCATCATGCTTCAGAAGCAGGTCTTAGATCTGATGAAATCCGGAGGCACCATATGGAGGACTTAAATGTCCTAGGCACATCACTTCCGGAAAAGAAGCTGTATAGCAATTTCCCATCTGCCAGAAAGCTCTCGATGAATCAAGCAGAGATAGAAAAGCCGAACATTTTCCCCAAGAAGACGTTACCAGATCCGCTACCCATAAACACCCTACCATCTCCTCCACCTCCTTCTCAGCCGCAATCTTTTACCTCAGCCCCATATCAGACAGGCCCATACCAGTCAGTCCCTCTTACCAAAGTCCCCTCAGCTCCAAAGCAACCCAAATTCATAAAACAAATCAGTCTTGGGCAACGAGGTTTTGGCATAGCAGCTCCAAAGATTGTAGCAGCAGAGGTGAAAACGGAAAATGTCAACGCAGCAGTTACCAAACCAAACGTAGCACCATTGACTCCACGATCACGTTCGGATATGAGACCGGCCACTCCTCAGACTATCAGGAGCCAGTCGCCATTCTCAATCACTAAGCTCAGAGCAGAAGTTTCTGACCCTATCATGGATAGAATGTCATCAACGCCAAGCATCCCCATCTTGAAAAAGAACGGATCTAGCCGCCACGACATAGGCATACATAATCTCAAAGCAGGAGCTTCTGCTCATCCTTCGGCATCGCGCACTCGCAGTGATAGCCTTGAAGATGATCACGAGATGATCCAGAGCATGTTTCGACCAGAGGACCAGAAAATGATATTGAATAAGCTTCGGGCTGGTGTTGGCGTTGGAGTTGGCGTCGCACCGGAGCCCCCTCCAACGATTTCGCCTGCATCAGCAGTCAGCCCCTGGCTGGTTTTGCTGAATCCGTCTAATCCAGAGAAGAGTCAGATAAAGGCCGTAAATCTATATTCGCGTTGGCAGCACATATTTCCTCGTATATCTGACATGAAGATACAGAAATGGAAGGCTCTGTGTTGCCCCGCTGCGGTCCCATTGACAACGGAGTATTTTCCTACCAGGGCGCAATTCGATACCGAGTATCAAAGGCATCCATATAGCGTGGACCAAAATGCAGATGATGAATTGACCGAGGAGCCAAAATCTAGACAGGAATTCATCAGTGAACTGATCAGCCTGCGATTTTCACAAGGGTTCCAGGTGGTAGTCGGGCCAGCCGTTGCAAAGGCGTTCGGACAGAAGATGATTAAACTTGGTGACATCTTCTCGCGCGACCAGGTCCTTGAAGATGGCACAAGTATATTCATGTCAGTTGGCAACGTTATTCACCAGCTCTCGTGCGTAAACGGGACAGAGGTTGAAGTCAATATCTATGTCAGAAACCCCACGGCAGACATGTCGGGATTACCGCAAGGATACTCTCCGATATATAAACCCGCCATTCGAACGCTGTTTGATACAGACTATGAGGCTCGACGTATAGAGCTATTGTCAATTCCTAGACCTGATCGCAACTGGAATATGATTGACTCATACGCTGCGGGCCACCACGACGAGATGATGGAGAGCTTGCGGTTCTGGAGAGCTCGATTCGTCCTCATCCCGCTGGCTGCCCATAATCCTTCGGTGCCTAGGACCCAAAACGGCTTATACCCCGAGGAAATTAGAATAGAGGGTATCAAACGCTTAGCTCATCTGTGGCAGAAGAATCGCTACATACCGCCCTCTGAACGCAGATTCCAGACTGCTAGAGGGCGTGGGCAGCTGGATCGCAGTCCCTTGGATATTGTCTACAAAACAGAAGACCCCTCTGTTGTCATTGCAGCTGAGCTAGAAACATTACCTCTGATTGAGGGCCTCGAGGGTGGTATGAGTAAGAAACATCAACTCGTGTCGAGGAAAGACCGATTCGAAAAGTCGAATCTGAACTTTGCTGTCTTGGCCGAAGCTATGCAGCAGCCTGTGGAGCAGGGCGGCGTACCCCTACGAAACCGTCGCTGGCATCTACGGCTTCATTATCATTCTTTCCTCGGCTCTGATATGACTACGTGGCTGCTGGAGAATTTCGATGACCTTGAGACCCGTGAAGACGCAGAGGATTTGGGCAACGCACTGATGGTGCCAGATGAACCCAAGGGTAAAGACAAGGACAAGGAAGTATCAGAAAAGGAGAAGGAAAAAGAAAAGTCTAAAGGGCTTTTTGTGCACGTCGAAAGACGACATCGGTTCCGAGACGGCAACTACTTTTACCAATTTGCTCCTGAATTTGCGAAGCAGCAGCCTGGCTGGTTTGGCAGCAGCAAGAAGAAAGAAGCCCCCTTGCCCACTACCCCCATGACAGAATCATCAATAGGGTCGGGTAGAAGCCGGTCGTTGCAGGATGACTACTCTCCGGCGTCCTTAACCAGCACTCCAACGATGGCAGCACAGCACATAGCCAAGAGTCGTCCCAAGGTAATTCTTAGCAAGGTCATCAAATACGATGTTGATCCTAGGAAGAGATCATATCGTCCTGAACGAATTGATCTGCACTACGACCGTCTTCACAACCCAGACAACTGCTACCATGTTAGGATCGACTGGATGAATGCAACCGCGAAGCTTGTAGAAGACGCTGTTGACATTTGGGAGCGTGAAGCCAGCCAATACGGTCTACGCCTCGTCGAGGTCCCCATTAGCGAGGCCAGCGCCATTACAGAAATCAACCCCCTCCGACGGCCATATCCCATCAAGCTTGCCGTGCAGCCGCCGGACCAAAAGCCCGAGACATTTTATGACCCAAATTCGCTGGGACCGCAGACGGTGCCCACAAAGTACTTTTACCAAAAGTCGATTTTGCGGCACTTTGATTTCGTGCTCGACATGGAGGCAGCTTCTAATTATCCCGGCAACGTCGATATTATATACTCTTGGGGACGGCCAGACTACAGATACACGCAATACATCCATCGTTCGGGAGTTCTGCTAGCCCAAGTAACGGACGATGGCAACTTTCTCGTGTTAGCAAACCGCCTGTACGGCAGGCGAGCCGTCAAAGAGAGAGAATCCGCCGCAAGAAACTTCACCCCAATCGACCAGCCGCACCTCCCGATGGAAAGGGGCAGTGGGCGGGCGCCATCCTTTGACTCTTTCAGCCTCTCCGAATCGATCATGGCAGGCTCTTCGATGCATATGGGCGCTCCAACGCCGCTGCAACACCATGCCGGTGGGCACCACCACCATCCTCCGCACCATCTCTCGTACCACCATCATCCCTACCATCACCACCACGCTCCATATCACCACCACTCCTCTCCCTCCCTCAAGCCCGTCAACTCTTCCGCCTCGCTTAGCACGATCCACGCCCAACAACCGCCGCCGCCTCAATTCTCAGCCAACCCCACCGCGCACCTCTACGTGCCCGAAGCCATCAAGGAAGAGCTCGAGGCCTTCTGCTCCGACGCCGCCGCCCTCGAAGCTTTCTACAAGGAGACGCTAGAAAGGGGCCAGATCATTCAAGGCACACCCGCGACGGCCGCGACGGTGAATCCACCTGGGCTGGAGGCTGTGCCGGAGACGAGCATCCCGTCGCTAGGCTTACCGCCAGGCGTACTGGCGTCGCTGGATAGCGGGGCGGCGATGAGGATTGGGAGCCCAATGATGTTTTTGAGGAGGGGTAGCGTGCAGTTTGATGGACTTGGGTTGGGAGGGTCGAAGAAGTAAAGGTTTGAACGAATGGAGGGAGGGGAGGCTGTTTTGTTTTGTTTTTGTTATTGTGAAAAGAAAAGAAAAAGCGATTTGACTGGTTATCTATGGATCAGAGTTGATAGTTGTAATGTAATATCATGTTCGTGTAAAAGGTAGGTTGGGTAGGTTAGTTTAATTAGGTGATAATACGGAGTACTTTTGGGGATATATTGCAAAGTAATATATGAAATGTTCAATAATAATGCCATATATCGATCAATCAAAAATACGGGGTCTGATCAACGTTGATTTTCACGCCGAATAATGATTAAAATGATGAAAGTATATTGCAATTGAAATCTAAAAGATACTTTTTTTTAAAAAAGACTTCGCTAAATAATAAATAGAACTTCATGATACGTCCAAAGTAAAAAGCTTTCCAAGTCAAATCTTCATTCATTCTAATTGGTATCAACAACCTACACGATCCTCTGTTCTACCCAAGCAGTTTTTTCTCTTTTATTTATATTTATATATAAAAAAAAAAAGCAAATTCCTGTACCAATTCATAAGATGGAGGTTTCAAAACTACCGGGGACACATCTACTTCTTCCCCTCCCAAGGTCAAATCAAATCATGATAATAAAAAAAAGAGGTAGTTTCAAAAAAAAAAAAAAAAAAAAAAAAAAAAAAAAAGATACACAATACAGCAAAGGCTGCTGTGCTGATGTGAAAATTCGTCTGTACGTTAATGCTAATAGTACATCGAAGATAGGCGAAAGGAATAAGATCAAGGTCGTTTGTTTTGGCACGGCCGCTAATACGGATGGATTTTTTTTCGCCGTCGTAGATTAGGGAAAAAGAACGCCTTTTTTTCGAATATGATGGGGGTTTTTTTTTTTTTTCTTTGGTTTGCGTAAATAAAATAAATATTTTCATAAGTCCAAAACGCACATAAAGAACCGGAGGCAGATTACTGGTGAGGAAAAAAAAATCGAATAAAAATGCGTGTGGTATCAAAGAAAAGGGGGGAAGAAAGAGAGAAAGCAAAAAAGGGCGAGGGCCATTTCTATCTTCTTATGACGATGAGGTTATGGTGTCTTGGTTGGGATACCCTAAGAATAGACGCGTTAGCAACTTTATTCATTCCATAATCGTTAGTACTCTGAGACTCACAGAATGCGCAAACAGCGATGATAGCGTAGAGGCACATCAACAACCAGCCTTCTAACCAATGACTCTTTCCATCGCCAATGAGATAGTTGACCAGTAATACAGCAACAAACATGACAGCAACCTGAAAGGTATCGAAGCTCAGGTTCATCTCGTCGTTGCCCATGCCCCAGCCGATAACAACCAACATGGGGATGAGGAATAGGGCGACTTGCATACTAGATCCAACAGCAACACCAATAGCGAGATCCATCTTGTCCTTTACGGCGACAGTGACGGCAGTAGCGTGCTCGGCGGCGTTACCGACAATGGGGAGCAGAATAAGACCAACAAATTCATCAGACAGAGCACCGTTCTGGGTAATGGCATCGATCGATCCAACCATGAATTCAGCACAGAGAGCAATGATGACGGTAGAGGCAGCCAAAGTAGCAATAGCTACGTAGAAGTGCAGCTGAGGATCTTCCTCTTCCTCCTCCTCTTCCTCGTCTGGTGAGTTGGTGATGAGAGAATTGAAGTTGTCCTTGTCAACAATGTGGCCGCCCACCAGAGTGGCGGGAACCACCAGGCCCTGCTTGAGATTGGGGTTTGAAGATCCGCTGCTCCATGGCTTGGCGGGAACCTTTTGGCTCTGCTCGTTGAAGACCTGTGAGTGAGTCTTGAGCTGGAAAAACAGGTAGGCGCCATAGACAACAAGCAGAATGACAGCGGTACCGCGAGAGAGCTTAGCAACGCTCTCGGTAGGCGTGTTAGCGGCGGCATCGAAGACGGTGGGAACAATGACGGAGGCAGCAGCCAAGGCCAGCATAGATGCAGCGGTCTGAGCTACGACGGTGTTGAAGTGCTGCTCCGGGCGACGCAGGCCACCGAAGAAGAAGCAGAATCCCATGACCAGGAGCAAGTTGGAGAGAATGGAGCCAATAAGCGAAGTCTGGACAATGTTGACCTTGCCATCGATCAAAGCAATGATGGCCACGATGAGTTCGACGGCATTACCAAAGGTAGCGTTGAGCAGGCCACCAAGGGTTTCACCAGTACGGAGGGCAATCTCTTCGGTAGCAAAACTCAACATGGCAGCAAGCGGGATGATGGCGATGAAGTTGACGACGAAAACAGCGATACGTGTGACAGAGTGGACGTAGTTGATAGCGATGCCGATCGGAGCAGCAACAAGCAGCACATTGATCCATGAGTTGAGCAGCGTTCGCTGGATCTGATTGGCAACGGTAAAAGGCTCCTTGGGGTGGACGTGGCGGATGAGGCCATTCTGCTTAGGCTTCTTCGTCTTGCTGTTGTCAGGCTCGCTGAGAGCTGGCTCGTCAAGTTTTTCATCCTGGTCTCCCTTGCCGCGATTCCGCATGCCATCGGCGTCAGTCCCGGACTGGGTTCGGTGGATAAGTGGCGTTTCATGCTCCTGCGTCTCATTGCTGGCCTTGCGAACAGGTTCTTCCGTGCCTGTGCCAGTTCCGGGAACAGAGGCTTCTTCCTCTCTTATGCCTGTTGTCGGGAATGGCGATGTGACTGATTGGGTTAGAATCGCTCCGTTGTTGTCCCCCTCGATCTGGGCCTCCGCACGAGCGCCATCCCATGTGTTGGCGTGCGATCTCTTCCAAACATGTCGGAAGGGATTCCAATTCTCGTCGCTCTGGCGGCTGAAGTGATGCGCCTTGCGCTTGATGTTGAAGTGATTGACTGAGAGCAGGTGGGTTAGTCTATGGCTCCCCTTGTTGACATCGTCCCCCGTCGCGTACGACGACATTCGTGAGTTTGGTGGGTGAGCAGAAGCGTGCAGCTTCAACGGCACGGGACCAGAAGCATGAAATGTATGTACAAGAAACAAGGTACAAGGAAATGAGGGAAGGGGGGATAATGAAATTAAAAGACAGGCGCTATGCAAAAAGCAAACAAAACCGCAGAACGCAAGAAAAAAAAATACAAAGGGCTAATGGTGATGGTGAAGATGCGACGGCGGCAATGAATGAATCCCAACAAGCCACTCCCTCGACAGGTCCATTGAAGGGTCTGCGACGGTGCGGTAATCAATCGGGGGGGGGAGAAATGCTCGGCGCGTCCGGATATTTGTCGACGGGGCAAGGAAAGGCGAGAGAGAGAATGAGAGTGAGGCAGCAATAGTAAATAACAGGAGGAAACGGGTAAAGGCATTAAACTCACATGATGACATGGTCTGCTACACAGCCCGGTCCACTCAGGCAAAACTCCACCACTGAGTGATTAGTGTTCCGGCAAAGAAAAGAGCCAAGTCAAAGGATTGGGTTGGGTGTCCTTTGCGTGTGGTTGGCGCGCGCGTCGTTTCGGTGACTCGGAGGTTGGATATGCGCCGGGTGCGAGTCCAAGTCTGGGCGACGGCGATCGCTTTTATCAAGCAGCGCAACGGGCGGCCTCGAAAGGGCAGTGCCTCTCAGCTCCTGTGTCTCTGGATGGGGACCGTGATTCGAGATTAATTGTGCTGATTCCACTCCTTGCCGGGGGGCTGTGGCTTGCTGGAGCTAGGATTGCTAGTAGTATTGGAATGGTGAATAATCTCCAGGAACCCCTGGCGCCACTACCAAAACACGCGTACTTGTACTCGACGGTGGCTGGTACCCGCAATAATGACGGTGAAAGGACTCGGACGTGTCCAGAGAGTGCGAAGAAGAGTCGTCGCTATTCAGCGGACAGGAAAAGGATCGGATTGAGTCAATGGGAGATCGGGTCGAGATCTCAGAGTTCAAGTCCCTCTTGGCAGTGCAATGGAGATGGTCCCGCGATATGCGTCCCTGCTGCAGGCCAAGGCTTCTCGAAGAGCTTGTTTCCAGCCTGTGTGGGCTACACAGCAGCAGCGCGCAGGATGGGCTGGATCCGAGTTCTTGGCTCCCGGGCTCTTCGAACGAACTGTGAGGCAGACTGAAGCGGCCGATTCCTCGACGATTCCCGATATCACTAAGGCAGCAAGACACACTGGTGTGGCTTGAACTCCGACGTTGGATCGGAAAGTAGCGAAAGAGGCTGTGCCAGCGGACAGACTGGCAGATGGGGAGCAGAAAAGAGTGTGGACTGAAAAGTAGAAAAAATAGAGTCGTTCTCTCCGCAAGCCGCGTACAGTGAATGACGAGAGAACGCAGCGCAGAGCCGTGAAAATGAGGTAATGAAGGGTGAGAAGTGAAGTGTAGAGAAAAGAAGAGAGAGGTCAGAATAGGTTTTGGGCTTGACGACAATCAAACGAAATTCATGACGGCGTGCGCTGTCCCCCTAACTAAAATTCAAGGTTATACATATCTAAAGGCGCCTGGCGGCAGTTGTTGGGGGCTCGCGCCAGGGGGGTGTAGGCATGTTCTTCCGAAGTAGCAGGTACTTTCGTGCGCTGTACGGTGCTGCCGGGCGTTGGGGACACTGTACTCTGTGCTTCCTGGCAACGTGCTGTGGCGCTACAGTGGTCGGTTGTTAATGCGGCCGCGCTCAGCGCTGTGTTACTGGCTGACGGCAGCTCAGCTTCAGTGACACGCCTCCCTGCTGAACGTGCCGGCTGTGTTTCTACTGACCTCATCACATTGCCAACCTAATGTGCACAGATGCATGGATGTGTGTGTGGCACAGGCGCCATCGCTGCCAGCACAGATACCTACTCAGATACTACCATAGCTTCGCAAAAGCCAATACGCATCACGAGTACGCGGCACTCTTTGTGCACAGCGACGGCACTTGCATAGGTAGGCACTGTCTGCTGATCCGGTGGGACATTGATCGTCTACAGGCACTGTACTGTGCTCGCACAGGCAAATGGTTTCAAAGGAGGCCTCCATCTGCCCTGTCGGTGGTTTCCACGTCCACGTCTTTGTCTCTGTCAGTTTGTCTCGGGTCTTAAAATGATACCTATACAAAACAGTGTGGTAGTAGCCGCGTAGTAGCCGTGTATAACCCTACTCCAACTTAAAAATATGTCTGTGCTGGCCTGGTCCGAGGTGCTACAAACAACGATATGGGAATACAGGTTGTACATTCTGCCTTTATACGTATTAGCGCATACTGGTGGAATGCTGGTAGGTGAACGATCTTAATAGTATCTATATTGAAACGCTTCAGCCCATGCAAGACAAATTACACGGCCAGTCCCCAGCATCAAGGCTCCGATATCAAGGCTCCGATGCTTCCCTCGTCAGGCTGCTTGCTCCCTTGCCGCCGCCTTCTCTGCCTTTTGTTTATTTACCAATACTACTATTTTCCTACCTTTCTCAGACCAGACCAGACCAGACACGAGTCAAAGCTCCCTTGTAATAGCCTTTCAAGCACATTCCCCCAATCTTTGCTCGCCTGATTCAACCAGCCGGCCACAAAGGCATACATGTATGCAATCACCGCAAAGTACCTCTCGTGTACCAGCTACCCCATACTTGCCCATGCACACCTGAGCATTTGTTCTAGCATCCCCTGGACCCGATCTTTTCCCCAATCTATGCCAGTCCGCCTTTGTCTTTGCTGCCCCCTGTCCCGCTCCTTAGACCCAAAGTCTCCATCCCAAGCCCCTGACAGAATTTTTTTCCCTAAACTCTAGCGCAGACGGGCTGTTTCTAAATACTTTTTGGCTTTCCTATAGCTCCTGTTTGCACGAGTCGAAACGGCGATACTAAAACTTCGCTTGTGCCTTGCAGCGCCAACTCATAGGCGCATTTCAATAGGCTGTTTGGTACCTAGGTATACGCATACTGTACCTACCTACCTAATACAGTACGCATACACCTAACCCACGGCATGTCGGGCGGCCAAAAAAAAAAAAAAAAAAAAATGCGCAGAGCCAGAAACGAAACACTCGTTTACGGCCAATCAACTAGCCTCTCTACGCCCAACGGAGTAACTATCATCGTATCCTTTTCGTCATGCCCACGACAAGCTGCGCATTCTCCAAGGAAAGCAAGATTTTCGCCACCACTACCCCTGTTTCCTTGTTTCTGCATATGCTTTCTTCCAACTTTCCACCTCTAATATTCAAAAGATTCCACTGCTACATAGACTCAGTAAATAGTATGATTCTTACTGCATAGTGCAGTCTGCAGTACTCTAGGTAGCACAGCAGCATTCTCTTCTCCCTTGAACTTTTCTACTTGCGGTGAGTTTTGCATCATGCACTCCTGCGTCCCAATCCTCTCCGCACTTTTCTTCTTTTCCAGTTTCCACACATCCTTGACGTCAGATTCTGCATACATACTTGTACATACAACCTGCGATACTACATAATACTTACTATACAAGGAAGGCCCTGCATGCAGCATGTACAAGTATGTACGCATGCCCGCATCAAACAGGCCGCCATGTTAATCGCTCTAGCTGACATGCAGCCATCCATTCGAGCTGCTGCCACCTACTCTACACAGCTACCCTACTCTAATACGAGGAGAAAGCCCTCTTTTCTTCTCACCGCACACAACGCGTACCCGCGCGGGCACCATATGGTCCGTCGTCCGTCCGTCTTGCTCGTATCACGCCCCATATCGAGGTCGCTGTGGCTGGGTGAGATCAAAGCCTCCAGCGGCTGGCGTAGACTGTCGACGTAGACGCAGACTTACGTGGGCAAACTCCGCCCTCAACATCATTCAATAGTTCGCATAGCCCACCATAATTCCACAGCAAACCCATCAACGTGCATCAATAGTAAGAAAAATGTCAGTCAGGTATTAACAGCACCGTCGCCATACGCATCATCATACGCATTTTGTAATAATAGACACGCATTGGCCTATTTTGATCCCAGGCGCAGTCACATACCAGTCTAGGCAATCGCCAGATCAGGCACTATGGCTGATCCGCAGCCCAAATCCACGCTATCTTGTTACCAAGCTTATATCTTATTTTCTTACTTTTATTTTTCCAGAGCTAGGAACCTATAGAATATCTGTCGGTGATAGACCACAGCGGTCGTAATCGATTACGCTCGCCTTCTAGCGCCTTGTCCGCCCAATCGTCTTCCGCCACAACTTCTTTTTCTCTCCCTCCCAGCCATGCAGCTAATGGCTCATATAGCTTGGATATACCCAATGACTCCCATTCAATGTGGCCCAACTATGCCTATATACTACTACCGTATTCCCTCGCAAAACTTCGTTGTGAACATCCCCCAGATTTAAAACCTGTTTTGTTCAAAAGAAACAATGGGTAAGCTGATTTATCCCAGCATGATGCCAAGTAAAGCAACAATCCGTTACCGAGGTTTGCGAGGGATCACGGCATCATTGTCTCGAATATATACGACGGAGAGCCAAGTTTGCAACAAGCTAGTTCTGCCGCTAAGCATAGCATTGGATGTAAAGCCAGCAAGATGGCGGTCAACCATATCATGGCCTCTGCTCATACACCTAACCGGACCAGTACTAAGAAGAAGCAGCTTGCCATGTCATCTTGGGCTGTGACGAAGAAAATCCTTCGCCCAGTTCTGCGAATCACCTCGCCAGCTCCCAACAGTGCCAAAACCCAGCATGAATAACGCGCAGTAGCACAGTCATAAACCTGATACACCAGCCAATTTCCGCCCATCACATGGCAACACATGGCAACGCGATGTCCTCGTCATGATTCGATAGACTCAATTTATTGCCATAGACTTCTAGCCTTGTCTCTTCTAGGCATGATATCTCTTCGAAGCGTGAGATAAGAATTATCGTACAAACTCACGTAATATGTAGTCAACTACTTGGGTCAGGTAGGTATCATTTGAAACGCCCTGAAATCAACCTTTGTCCTCCTAAAAAACGCCACCCATCGTCCAGTAATGAGTAAATGTATATCCCATGCTTGAATTTCTTCCGTCCCGATTATATTCGATTGCGCAATGCCCAACTAAAGGGTCCGCGTCGTATATTAACCACCTTCCAGCGTCAAACGCCACTTATGCCGTTCCATCGGTCTGATTATATTTTTCTTTTCTTTTTCCTTTTCTTTTTTTTAACAAAAAGGGTGAAAGTGATAAAAAAAGGTACGCCTAGAGAGATGCCACTAGGGTACTTGGTAAAATTAATAAAGACAAGAGAAGAAGAAAAAAAAAATCAAGCAATGAAATGACGGTGGGAAATGACAGATATCAGTCGCCGTTGGCCTGGCGTCAAATTCGCTGTAAATGCTCTAAATCCATTCCATATCTTCGTCATCATCGCGTGAAGCCCCTGATTTATTTGTCCGGCCTCGTTTGCGTGGCTGAGATCCCGAACGTGCACGCTTCTTTCGGCCTCCGGGAGTGCCTGAGCCTTTTCTCTTGCGGCCCCTTTCGGGTGCTTCTTCTTCTCCCTCTTCGCCGTCGCTTGGTGGGGTGCTTGGTCCATCCAATGCCATCTCCTCATCGTCGTCTTGCACCTTGAGCTCCTTGTCGACGTTCATGAGCTCCACAAAGACCTTACATTTCTGAGCCATCTTGTTAATCGACTCCAGGCTGCTAAAGTGTGATGTCACCTCATCCCAGAATCGCTCTCCATGAACTCCTTGGACCTTCAGTGGCATTTTGTTCAGGTCTTTCGCGAGCGCCTTCGCTTTGCTATCGTGTCGATTAGTCCCCATACCATAGAGACGTCGAAGATGCGTGCGAGCTTCCCAGAGGCAAGACAGGATGATAGCCCCAGTCGTTAGCTGGCGAAGTCGATTTGGGTCCACCTTGACACCGACCAGAGGCGCTCCCTCTGCGCTTGCATGGGCTTCAACGGTCTCGCTCATCAGCTGGTCGGTAACCTGGTCTTGCTCTGTCTGATCCAAGTCGAGGCGCACGTCGAATACTTCGGACTCAATCAAATGGGCTACTGCTGCACCGGTCGTGCTTACAATCTTCTCCATTGTATTCACGACTGTTTGGAGTTCTCCAACCGTTTGGTATTCGAAGAAGGCGAGGTTTTCGATGATGAACCGGGCGAAATCCAGGTGCGGTGGCATCTCTGGCTTCGCGTCCAGCTGCGCAATGTCAAAGTTGACTTGGCTACACAGCTTCTCTAAAAAGCGCTGCCTGTTCTTCATCTTACTGATCTTCAAGACTTCCATCATAAGATGCAGCTTGGGCTGGAAGACGTCAGGAATCGCTCCGTGAGAGTCTTTGACAATATCTCGCTGGTAGTTGTATGCTGACTGTATGGCCTTGACGTATTCCCTTTCAAGCACTGTTTCGTGCTTTTCGTGTAGAGACCGATGTTCCATAAATGCCAGCTCTGCAATTTTCCGGTTCGAAGATGTCTCCAGCGTCATCAATGTGATTCCTGTTTCCTTGGGATGCGTCAGACCTTGGCGGTTAATACTGCCCAGTACTTCCATTGCTAAAAATGCAAGTTCGTCTTGGCTTGCTAGAGCAATTCGCGTAATATCTTTGAGAAACCTTTGCGTGGTAGCGCTGGCAACATCGTCAAAGTTAGTTCCTCCCATGACCGTCAGCTCTCGCTTCTTCTCTTTCGCGCCGGACTCGGCAGCAGCTTCAGACCGTCTCTCTTCTGTAAGAAGAAATTCCTTGAAAGACTTCAGTATCATGGTCTCGAGAACAGGAGACTCTTCCTGGAAAACCTGTTGGAAAGCTGTGTAGACCTTAGCCAAGACGTAATTTCTCGGCCAGGATTGGCAAACCAGACCAATCGCCTCAAGGGATGCCTTGCGTGCCTCCAATGGCTGCGAAGGCGAGGCAAATGGAATCAGTACATCCACAATCAGTCGAGGGACCGAATCTCCCTGCCATTTGGGGAACCGGGCCTTGAATACTTGCATCTGTTGGTCCAGGTCGCAATGCTTGCCAACACTGCCAACAATGATGGCGTAAGCACAGAGATGATTAATCCTCTTGCTATCCAGCACCGCGGCTCCTGCTCCTAGCTTTTGAATGCCCAGTAAACCTGACGCGACCAAGTTTGCCAAAGGTGCAAAATTATTTAGTAAATCACAAGTTACTTTGGTACACGCAATGAGATCATCCAGAGCGCCGCGGGAAGAAATCTTTCCGACGCCCTTCAAGAGTTGAAGACGAATGTCGGTTAGGAACTCTGAGTTGACAGTGGGTAGCTGGGGAAGTACGCGTTTGTAAATAACGGTAACTGCTCGGAATGCTGCCAACTCATCGACACCACTGAAAGTTGCGAGATGGGGTTTAAGAAGCCGGATCTGTTCAAGGTTGAATAATTTAGGATCCGCCTTGGCAAAGATTGTGAGCACCTGCAGAGCATCACGGCCTGCTGGACGTCCTTCTTCCGACTCTCCACTGTCAACCAGTGTAAACATACTGTTCACCAGGTGAGAACAAACTGAAAATGGGCCATCCAACGATTTATCTTTTGGTCGAAGGATAGCCTGGAACACCTTGTCGAGAATTTCTGTGACACTACCTGTCTTTACTGTCTGGATAATCAGGGCTACATGCTCAGTGAGAGAGGTCTGGAACGCAGCGCTGTTATCGTCGCCGTAGAAGGGGGCAAACCACACTTCCTCAATCATCTGACGGGCAAGATCGCGGACAGTATCATCGGGATCTTGTACACGTCGGAGTAGGCCGTTGGCTATGGCGCTGCGAATGGCGTTGTCGTGATTGCGAAGATAAATATCACGCGCAAGTTTCATGGCTCGCTTTCTGACGCCAACACCAGCGTCTTGGAAGCGGTCAATGATCTTGGGCGTCAATGGCGATTCCAAGGCTGGTCTCAGTGTAATGCAGCTTCCTATAAGACCGAGGGCGGAATCTCTCACTTGCGTAGAGGAATCGCTAGAACAATCCAATATGAGTTGAATTACCATGGAGTCACCGTCCAAAATAGATGGGTCTGTTTCGAGGACTTGAGTAATACTCTTCAGACTTTTGCTGCGAACTGTTGCTTGGTCACCAGCCATGGAGCCAAGTAGAATGTTCAAAATCTTGCTAAACGACTCGAAGAAAGGAGAGCGTAGCAAAATGATAGAGTAGGAGAGCTTCGCTTGAACCGAGCTCACGGCCTTGAAAGTGTACTCGTTAGACAACCAGCGACGATCTTGAATCATCATTCGCAATCTGTAAGCAAGGCGTCCAAGCTCCCAGTCTCTCTCATCTTCGTTTTCCTGAATCACATCGTAACCCATGTACAGTCGAGTGGCCCAGTCGGTGATGAGAAATGAAACAGCACTAAATAGGTATGGGTCGTCTGATAGACGAGCCTGAAGGAACTCCAGTGTAGCTCGATATGGTCCGTCCCAGGCAACAATGCTCTCAAAGGAGCTCTTTTGCTCAAGGACGTGGCATGCCAGCGCCGCTAGATACCGCGAGAGACCATCGGTGTCTGTGGTTTCGAACGAGTTGGCAGTCCGCTTGACGTGTGACCGGAGACGAGATATCGCTGCGCTCATGGTACCTAGCAACTCAAGAGCCATGTTCTTCGCAGGGGCAGGAGTTTTTGGTGCCTCGAATAGTTGTACCATCATAAGCATGAGAAGGCGCAGTAACAGTTCGGCCGATGGCCAATCTGGAGAATCAAGGCATGTCGTAAAGTCTTCAACAAAGAGGTCCAAAAGATTGCGGTACGGCGTGTCACCCGACTTGGTTGATCCGATGGCGCGTTTCACAATGAAGTTGACAATATAGGAAGCGTTTCGACTGGCTCCTTCACTGAGAGGGGCGGCAGCTGCCTCGAGCTCCTGGATTGCAACAGCATGCTGTTGCGCCCCTTGGTCATCGCTGTTGATGGACGGCATCATTGGGTTCTTTTTGTGCCTCTCGCCCCCCAGTTCTCCTTCGTCTTCCTCGCCTTCGTCCATTTTGTCCTCTTTACCATTGATGGCCTGAAGCACTGCCGCGCGGCCACTTTCATTCTCTTCAACCATCCCAGAGCTGGCCTGAACCAATCGCATGAGCAGCGCGGACACGGGTTGGATATTTCCGCCCTCGGAAAGTTTGAAGTGTCGTGAACTCTGCTTTCCGACAGGAAGCTTCTCCAAAGACGTAAGAATATCGTCGATAATACCTTGTCGCTGTTCGGGCTTGATCATAAAGATTTGGCAGAGCATGTCCATAGCAACGCTGCGCATACCATCAAACCGCTGCACCCCGACTGCTGAATCCTTTTCAAAATAGGCGTTTTCAACGAAGATGAGCTTAGAGGCTGTGAATTCTAGGGTGTTGAAAACGGTTTCTGAGAGTTCCACCTTGGTAACCAGCTCCGCTAGTGAGGCAAACAACTTTTGGCAGCTGAGAAACGTAGACGACACGGCTTTTCTATGCTTCAAAGTCATCTTGAACAAGTTGGCAGAAGGCCCCGAGTTCCGCAGCTCCACAAGAGGAATTATTATATCTTCGGTAACATTTTTGAAAATGGTGACGCATCTATTGATGACGTTCTCTGAGTACAGCTGCTTGTCCTCTCGGCCTCCGGATAGGATTCGCAGGCAAGTACGTGCAGCCCTCATCCCCAGCTCAACCTCTGGCAGCTGCTGAACCCACGATTCCATAGAAGCTTCATCCCAACTGTCGTCAACACGAATATCCAAGTCATCAGCAAGCTTCAGGCTGGCATCGCTCAGCTTCATAATTTGAAGGAGGCCCTCCACAGGAACTCTATTGAAACACTTAAGGGCAATAGCTTTCTGGATGGCACTTTGGATTTTCTGATGCGTTGCACTATTCATGGTGACGGTGTTGTCAGAGGTCAGCGTCACGACGTGGTCATATCCTGAGTCCATTCCAAGAGCACGCCCCACCGCTGAGAAAACGCTGCGCATGAGCAACTCAAGTGCTTCGAGGGCAGTGTCAGCTCGTTGTTGCTGGTCAAGACTAGCGCTACTAACAAGACCTTGATTACCAGCTGCTAGCTGTTGCGCTGTCTTGCTGACGGAAAGATCCTCGGGGGCAGATGGTAGAACCGCAACCTCCAGATATTCGTCTTTCTTAATATTGAAAGATGGAAGCTCCACCCGAATTGAGGCAGGCTTTATAGAATTCGCATCCAAAGTTGCTGAGCTGGCATTGAGCGAGTCTTCCGGCGTCACAGATAGCGTCGAGAGAGGTTGCCGATTTGGTGGTTCAGGAGAAGCCCGAATAGGATAGGAAGTTCCGGTAGGGTCAACATACGCTGATGGATCGAAGTCCCTTCTTGAGGATATCAGCACCTCTATCCTCGACTGGTTTTGTCTTTGTGCCTTGCGATTATCTGTGGCTGCTGGTGGGGTATCAATGACGCCAGACGGTACCTCGCTCTTTGGAACCACCCGGCTTTTGTCGCCGTTGACGCTAACAGCTTGAGGACTCGCAAGGTTTGGCTTGGTTGCCTTAAAATAACCACCGACTTTCTCGTATACCGCTCGCGCAATGGGGGATAGCCCATGTGAGAGGCTACCAGGTCGAGAAGTCGCTTGCCCTGTAATGATAGACTTGAAGTTGCTATACAACGGTCAGCAATGACACTCAGAGACGAAATGAAGGACCAAGAAAACTCGTCTTACTAGTGTGTCCTCTGCGAAGGTTTTATCTCGTGCAGTACCAGGTCAACTGCCTGCTTCGTGTTCCTCGGCAAGTGAGGCTGCCCAAGAGCCTCGCTGTTCAGTCGGCCGAAGTCGTGTTGAGGAAAGAGGTCGGAAACGGATGGGGCTGGAGAGCCAAACCCGATGTTGGGATCTGGGATAATTTCTAGGCCAGCATCAGTAACGGGTGAAGTTGCAGAGGAAGATATCAAGCAGAGGCAGGGTGGTAACCAACCAGAAACGAAGGGCACGGTCGAAGTCTGGGGAGAGTAAGGCAGAGATTCTTGCAGCGTGAACGGTCGCGAAATTGCGGTTTGAGAATCGGCCGGGCCACTATGGTGGGCACTGAGCCCGTTTTCAGGGTTCTCCATATTGTGTGGCTGCATATTGCCAGATTCTTGAGGCTCGTCGACACTTCAAAGACGCATCGTCGACGCAGGAGCTACAGACGCAGCAGGAGCTCCCCAGCGTGTCATGGAGGAAACGGCGACTTATAAGGGCGGTAGAGAGGGAAAACCGGCGGCGGAAAAAGAGCGTGGTGGCGTCGGATGCAAGGCCTGGTCGAATTAGCTGCGCATTCGCAGAAAGCAGCGTGTCTGCAATGCGTGCCCAAATCCTGCGTATTGGGTATTGTTTCGTGAATCTCGAATCACGCGCATCGCAGCCTGGGGAATCGACAGCCTCGCTGGACCAATCTCCAATGTCGAAAAGAACCCGATGGCCCGTGCGCCCCAGCGCTGGGCCAGTGAGAGGCCCTTCCGGAAGCGGTACCTTGCCTTATCAGTTTTTCCGGATTATCAGCGCCCCTGGTAACCCTGCAAGATCTTTTGCCAGTTGTCTTGCATGCCAATTTTTGTACAGCTGGTCCCACGCGATCCCTCCATTACACACGTAGAATTCGTCATAGTTGCTGCGCTGGCAAACAAGGCGGGAAAATTTTTGAGCAAAAATGGCTGCCATTGGATCGATGGTGTTCTGCACCGACTGCGGAAACCTGCTGCCGGCGACAAAGGGAACCGAGCAGAATGTGCTTAGCTGCGAGTGCTGTAGCGCCGAAAATAAAGGTTTGGCCCAACTACCTGGGAATTCGAGCAGAAGGCGCTTGGAGGGACAGAATTTTTTTTTTTAACGGGTGATTGTTTTAGATACCGGCGCAAAGGTCATTGTAACCGAGTCAAAGCCGTCTGATTTCCCTTCATTTTTGCGCCAAAAGCTTCAGTCCAGCGTACAGGCTGTTGAGCGCCATACTCTCAACACCGAAAGCTCCGTCCGTGAACGATGCCCAAATTGCGGCCGAGAAGAAGTCAAGTACACAACGGTACAGCTGCGAAGTGCCGACGAAGGTTCGACCGTCATTTACAATTGCGAATGTGGATACAGCTGGCATGAGAACAATTAAAGGCTCTATATTTTTTTTGCATTTGGAAAGATCTACAACTTGTAATATGGACAAAAAAATTTCTTACTTTCTTTTATGCTGAGGCGCCGGCCACCTCAGGAATCAAAGCATATTCCGTCTCACCACCTCTCTCATACTCGGCCATATCTAATGCTACGATGACGCTCTCTCGGACAACCTGCTCCTTATCTTGAAGGAATCTCTTCAAGATGTCTTCGACGCCCTCTTCATCACCAAGACTACCCAGAGCCTCAGCAGCTTCATGGCGCACCATGCTGGCCTCTTCCAGGTTGCTTAGAGCCTCTGTCAGGGCAGGGATAGATGCGGGGTGCGAAAGCTGGCCAAAGACGAAGGCAATCTCGTGGCGGAACAGTGCGGAGGAATCGGCGAATCCCTTGGCGAGAGCTTGGACGGCGGGAACGGCAGTAGGGCAGTCGGGGGGGGAAGCCAGGTCGCGGAGGGCAAACATGGCGCGATATCGCATGAAGAGTGGCTGCTTAAGATCCATGAGCACCCTGCCGAGCTCTTCAACTGACTTTTCAGATTCAGGCATGGGCGGTGCCGGGTCAATTGAAGCAAAGTCACTAAGACACGCTGTTAGTGAAATTGAATAACAAAAGAAAATTCAACAAAGTTACCTCTGGCGTAGCTTTTCCTGCTTTCTTGCCTCGGAGTTTTCCCATTCAATGCGATCAATTGCAATCTCGCACGTCTCTTTGACGACGACTTCCTCGTCGGCACGATCTCTGAATTCCCGAAGAATGTCCAGGCTAGAAGCATTGCCCAAAGCTCCCAGAGCCTCAGCGGCCTCGTGTCTGCACATGGGATCTTCCTTCAGATCCGACAGGACGTCGCGGAGGGGGCCAATGGCGGCATCGTTGCCGGTCTGGCCAAGGCAGTATGCAAGCTCGTGCTTCAATAAAGCCGACGGGGATGCGAAGGCAGCGGCGATGGCTTCGATGGCTGGGAGGGTAGAGTCGGGGTCGGTTTTGGCGACATGCTTCAGGGAGAACAGAGCGCGGAATCGGACGGGCAGAGGAGTATCCTCAGAGCAGAGGCTCTGCCTCAGGCTGGCAATAGTAGCGTTAGACATGATGAATTCCAATCTATAACATGAGGGTATCTCGAAAACAATGACAAGTTTGTACGCTCGTAAACCGAGTTGCATGCAGCCTCTATCAAAAATTTAGGTGGGGTGGTGGGGTGACATCTCGGAGTCTCTTATCGGCGTTTTGTTATCAGATCCCGAAATGCGATTCGCGAGCCATGCAGAAAAATTTTCCTGAGGCGCATTAGTAGCCTTCATATGCAATAATTAAGACACAACCCACCAATTCAGCCAGAATAGACATGGTCTAACGGTCTAACTAACGGTTTCATGGTCTAACGGTTATGACTGCGGATTCTGATTCCGCCAGCGAGGGTTCGACTCCCTCTGAGACCTTTCTTTTTGCCCATTTTTGATTTTTTTTTACTGGGAGAAAATCTTGATTGTATGGCCGCGCATGGTGTTGATGGTGTTGATGGTGTTTAGATGGATTTTGGAGATAAAAGGACCCTGAAATGCGCACCGCACCTGCCTGCACATGTGCATGCCAGAAATAGGTACTGAAAAGGCTTAATCTTCTTGACCAAGCTTCCAGAGGGCAGTCACTCCATCACTCCCTACCATCGCTCCTGCCATTACAACTGCCTTTTGTCGGCTTTGGCAAAACAAATTTATTTTCAACCAGAAAAACTTGCTTCATATAAAATAATTTGACCCTGAGCTTGATCCAGGCACATATACAAGTGCGAGATCCTTTCAATGCACTATCATAGCACGCAATTGCCCAACTGCTGAATCAATTGCTAGCCCAGGTGCTCACTTACCCTACAGTTTTTTTCCAGAACCAAAATTGTATGCCTTGCTTATTATGCTTGCTTTTTTATTTATATGTAGGCATACATACTATGAATGATGATGTTGCCATGACATCTCTTTACTGCGCAAAGCCCATAGGTTCGCATGCGCGTTTGCCGCAATCATGCTCTATGCAATCTACTGCCCTAAAATGATGTCCCGATCTCGGCAGCTTGGATTACCAAGTCTAGCCTACCACTGATGCAAGTCGCATTATTAAGCTTTCAGTCTTTTGCAAACAACTTCTAATTCCGAGCTTGAGAACCAACATTTGCATTCTGCATCTAAATACAAGAGCGCATAATAGCCTCAATAGGCAGCACGAAAATATCCGCTGCTAAAAAAAACAAAAAGCAGGAAGAGAAACTGATCCTTTGATCCTCGAGAAGCCACTGCCACCACCCTATCGAGTCTTCCGCTCAGACAGCGCCGCAAAGATGGCCCCGTCATTAGAGGAGCCAGAGGCTGTCGCCGACGTCCTCGCCAATCCTCTCAAACAGAAACCGCAACTCGTTGCCCCCGAGCCAGAGCACTGCCCAGGCCCAGAATCTGAGCGCGCCGGCACAGCGTCGCAGTGCGATGGCTGTCCCAACCAGGCCATCTGCGCATCCGCCCCCAAGGGCCCAGATCCAGACATTCCCATCATCACGGAGAGGCTACAGCACGTCAAGCATAAGATCCTGGTGCTGAGCGGCAAGGGCGGCGTGGGAAAGAGTACATTTACTAATCTCCTTGCGCACGCCTTTTCGACGAACCCAGAGAGCACGGTGGGCGTCATGGACGCAGACATTACGGGGCCGAGCACGGCCAAGATGCTGGGCGTGGAGAACGAGACGATTCACGTTAGCGCAACGGGCATGTCGCCTGTATGGGTGACGGAGAACCTGGCGGTGATGTCGATACAGTTTATGCTTCCGGATAAGGACGCTGCCATCATTTGGAGAGGACCGAAGAAGAATGGGTTGATAAAGCAGTTTTTGAAGGATGTGGAATGGGGCGACTTGGATTTCCTGCTGGTTGACACGCCGCCTGGAACGAGCGATGAGCATCTGAGCGTGAATTCATTCCTGAAAGAGAGTGGCATCGACGGCGCGGTGGTTGTAACAACGCCGCAGGAGGTTGCGCTCCTCGACGTGCGCAAGGAGATTGATTTTTGCCGCAAGGCCGGCATCAAGATCTTGGGTCTGGCGGAGAACATGAGCGCCTTTGTGTGCCCCAACTGCAAGGGCGAGAGCCAGATCTTCAAGGCCAGCACGGGTGGCGGCAGGGCGCTCGCGGAGGAGATGAATATACCCTTTTTGGGATCGGTACCTCTGGACCCGAGAATACGGATGGCGTGTGACTATGGAGAGAGCTTCTTTGACTCGTTCCCCGATAGCCCGGCTTGCGTTGCGTTTAAGCAGGTAGTGAGGAATGTAGGACGGGAGCTAGGGCTGGACGAGAAGACCGTACTGCCGGATGAGTAGAGATATACAAGCATTTGCATCATACTGGGAAACAAAGAAACAATTGGATGAATAAATGGGCGGGCAATTAGTCAACTTTGGCATAGCGAAGATGTTATTTCTTTATTCTTATTATTTCTATCCGCTCAACTGCTTCGGAATGTCTTCGAGATCCTCTGCCGACTCTATATCGATAACCTTGTTTACTTCGGCCGTGTTGCGTATCAGTTCTTTTGCGCCAGCGTAGAGCATCCTTGTTGCCGCATTACAGTTGATGGGAAGGTAGTAGATCATGGTATAAGGCACGGATAGCCGTCCGTCGGGCTGTGCGACGAATTATCCTACATGTTAGACACGGCAATCTTACACGAATGTGTATGTGTGTATGCAGGTATGAATGTATGAATGTGTATATATGGGGAGGAGGGGATATCGACTCACCATCGTCAAGGGGTAGCTGAGGAAGATGAATCGAGGGGTGCTGTCGGGGAGGTCGTCGGCTATCTCGTCGAGGGAGGTATATACGGTCTTATCGTCGTCTTGGCGGATCTCGTGGGTGTTTTTATCAATCAGATCTGTCCAATGATGATCCGTTAGCATCCGAGCACGGGCACATACTAGATGTATGCACGTATCAACGTATCAACGTGTCAACGACAGCATAAATCCACAACCAGCCCTGAAACGTGCCGCTGCCACTGCACTGATACCGCCCCCGTCCGGCACTTACATATAACCGCCTGAGGCTTGCTGGCCCGAGACGTCGTCAAGCGGAACTTGAGCAGATGGGCCTTGGTCTCGCCAGAGATCTGGTAGAGTCTGGATTCGGATGCCTTTTGGAAGCTCGAGTTAGCGGCGGAGGGGTATTGGCGGGGGGAGAGACTGCGATGCGAAGGGATCGTACCATGTTGTGCGAAGCCGCAGTTGCAGCGAGTACGAGGCTGAAAGGCTGAGAGAAGGACTGGCAAGGAGGCAGCCGCAGCGTAGACGCTCGATCTAGAGGTTGCGAGAGAACTGTAGCGGTGGATTTGCTTGCCGGCTCTCGACACCCAGCGTCAACTCGTCATTTGATCCCGCCCTAGCTTGAGCTGCCCAAGAGCTGCCCCGCTAAGCTGCGAAGCTGTTAGTTAGCCCATGCAGCGGAAATACAGCAACCTGTAAGACGGAACGCTTCCCCACATAAACACAAATCGCAGCGGGCTGTTGCAGCCTTGCCCGTAGAAAGGGCCGTCACGGGCCGGTCATTCACTCTCCGCCAGAGGCTCGGACTCAGTTTTGCACATCTTGAATTATTTTTTTGTTACAATTTTTGTCTTCATCCTTCCTCTACGCCTAATTGAGACGATTCCGAACAACAACCAGCGAGAAATTTGCCGTCTGTGCTGACTCTCTTGCTGCATAAATCTCCCCCGTCTCCACCATCTCTTCACCCATGTTTGCGCGGCTATCTCACGCCGCAAGACATCGCTTACCCGTCGCCTCATCTTCCTCTTTCACCACCCAGTCTCTCCTTCGCCCAACTGTTTTCAGCGTGAAAATGTCGGCCGCCGGTGACCGTATGATCAAGACGGCAGCATGCCTGATTATTGGCGATGAAGTGCTAGGTGGAAAGGTATGACTCAAAGAAATGTCTCCAGCATTGTCCTGTGATGTAGCGTGACTTGTACATTTTGTGAGAAGAAGGCTAACGAGTTTCTCTTTTAACAGACTGTTGATGTTCGTATACTGGATTCTGAAAAGTTGCTGTCAAAAACTAGACGAGACAATGGGACTCACGAGTTGACTTTTTGAACTCATAGACCAACTCGGCGTATCTGGCAAAATGGTGTTTCTCTCTCGGAATCGTGAGTGTTCACCCTAAAACTCAACTATCGTAGTTGATAGACGATGCCTGAAATATCCTGAAATATCCTGACACTTCTTTTTTCTTTTTTTCGTGCTGCGGCAGAACCTGAAACGTATCGAGGTCATTGAAGACGACGAGAGTGAAATCATGGAGGCCGTGAGCCGAATGAGCAACCGCTACGACTTTATCATTACCAGGTGAGAGCTTCAAGCTTAACTAAAAAGTCTTGACATGTTTTTAAATAGACGATCATTAACTGTCTCTATCTAGCGGAGGTATCGGCCCAACGTAAGAAAACCACTCCCCCCTCATGCATCATCTTCCCATTGTTACTGGTCCTTGTGTCTCACGGTAGCCACCAAACAACTTCAGGCACGACGACATCACCTACCCATCCATCGCCAAGGCCTTCGGGCTGCCCCTAAAGCTCCACCAGGAGACCTTTGAGAAGATGAAGAAGCTTTCCAAGCCAAACCCGAAGCAGCCGAACTTTGACTGGAACGTCGACTCCCCGGCTCTCAGGGCGAGGCTGCGCATGGTCGAGCTCCCAACAGACGAGTCGCGCGACCTTGGCGAGCAGGTCATCTTCCCGCATGAAGACCTGTGGGTTCCCGTTGCTGTTGTCAACCGGAATGTGCATATCCTTCCTGGAGTGCCGCTGCTATGTGAGTGATGGCTGATGGGACCCTTACGCTATTCTTAGGGTATAGTACTTGTTACTCGGGGCTGACCAGAGTTCTTTTCATTTTTACAGTCCAGAAACTGCTGGATGGGCTGAAACCCCACGTCCTCCCCAGACTAGTCGATCCTGAAGGTAAAGGAATCCATCGCATAATGATATCTACGCCTCTGCCGGAGAGCTCCGTCGCGGAATACCTCACCGAGCTGGCGGCCAGAGTTGAGCCTCATGGCGTTAAAGTAGGAAGCTACCCACGATGGGGCAGGAAACGAAATACGGTGACATTGGTTGGAAGGTATTTCATAACAATCAACCAGACTTCTCTCCTACGGGAATACACAGCTAACGATACCACGTAGGGACCGCGCTTATCTCGAGAGTCTCGTGGCCGAGGCAGAAGAGGCAGTTCAGGGCAAGCGAGTTACAAAAGAGGATGAGCTTGACGAGCCCGCTGACAAAACAGAGAAGAAGCTGTAAAGAGGAAACAAGTCATTCTAACCATGATAACATCATATAAACATATTAATGACATTTTCTAACAAAAGACAAATCACACTTATCTGCGTTGTCATTCTGAATTCTTTCTTTTCTTCTCCCCTTGTTATTACTCTTGGACTAGTTCCCTGAAGCGTATATATCTGGCCCCCTATTGCTTTTGCGGAGGCGAGTTTCTCGTCCCTCAAGCCCGGACCATATCGCGACAAGCATTCTATCCCGATCTTGTATCGATGTCTCACCCAGCCCAAAGCAAGGATTTTGTTCCTACCGTGAGCTACTTTTTCTTAGGTAAAAGCGTGGAGTTGTCAGAACCCCTTGTAGATCGGATCACCTCCCCCCAGCAAAAGACTCTGTGCGCAAAACGATGCAAGACATTGCTTACAGCAGGTAGAGGCGATTCTTAGGCTACGGCCTAGTCTTGCTGCCCCCCTCGTGATGTATAGTGGAGTTTGGATAGCTCGCTCGCACCTCGCTCGCACCACGCGTTCGTTTGGTCTGGCGCTGTTTTAAGCTCGTGCTATCTTCTCCACGATCAGCATCAGCCCCAAAAGACAATGCGGCGGACTGTAACGATGCGGCTAATACTACTAGTAGTAGTGCTTGGAAATCGCACGTCTCGGTGTAGATGATAAGTAGCTGCTAGTTTCAGTTTCAGGGCAAGGTTAATAACACGAACAATGTAGTACATATTCACAACTGAGGATCCATCCATCCGCCTCTCCTCTACATTGACCTTGCACGCTTTTCGTATTTGCCCCATCTTATGTTTTCCATCGTATTACCGTATGTAGCTGTCAAGAGAGACTTAAACGAGACCAACTGCCGGAAGAAACCTTCCAGAAACAACTTACTAGCCACAAATAATGCCTCCAAACCCTGCAAGCCAGCTTTTTATACTTTTCTAATCCCCCGTGAGAGAAGCTTCAGCTCAAGAGCCCAGCATAGCTGATCACACCCCACTTGGCTCGATTTTTAACGGTAGCCGCAAACGCGACGAACCTGCTAGGAAACGACTAGTGTAAGCCATTTATGAAGCCCAGAGTGGCATCTCGTCAGCTTCCAGTAGCAATGGCGACTGCCTAGATTGGAATCTGACAAGCTCCTTTGGGGGGGAGGACGGGATGAATGAAGCAACGCGGGTGAGCATGCATGTAATTACATGCCACCAGTACATGGATATTGGCATCAAATCCCGTAGTTTGCTGGTGCTACCCTTTTTTGCAATCTTTGGTTAATAAAGTCTACAGCTGAATTTAGTGTTGTTGCCGGTTCTATTTCGTTGCTTGGTCTTCTTTTTGCCATTGGCCATGCTCTACTTCGTCGGTGGGTTTGAAGGACCGGTGGCGGGCCGTGTATGTCAGTTTAGACACGACGGCAGCATCACCAACAATGCATAACACATGATGCGACGTCATCATCAGATTGTATTGAGTCAAACAACTGAACACTGCTGTAATACGCTGACACTTTTCATCTTTGAGTAGAACCCGATAATTTTGCGGGTTGATCGTTGTCGGGTTAGGCAGTGCAATTAACAAGACTGGTCCAGAAGGACAGAGATTCAGGTGTATCAAAATCAGGAACGCGCTATTCACTGTACGATGACAATCTCAGCTTCTTTCACTCATCAGCGTAACATTACTCGTGCTTCCGTAATACAAGCTGATAGTGACGTCTTGAGTCGCGAAGATTGGCAGCAAGCCGCCATGGGTTAGTATGGACATCACATTTTGCCAAGACCAAAAGGGGGGAATTAGACCGGGAAATGAGGAGAGTTTGGTGGTGGGGACGACAGCACGGGCGTGTGCGCTCTCTTATTTTTTCTTCGTTTATTATTGTGGGTGTGGGTGGAGTGGAGGCTGGCGTTGAATGTGGAGAGCATCATTCTAGAAGGCCGATAGAGTGGCACGAGATGGAGCTTTTAGGCTTGAGCTTCATTTCACTTGGGCTTCCCTTAATTCTAGAATGAGGACTCGTGCCCGGTATTATTGACGCCGGACGGGCGAGCTGAGATGAGGCGCAAACGATGGAGGGACTGTGCAAAGTATGGCGAGGCATCATTTCTGCCCCCTTGGCCATAAGAGTGATTCGCCGAGAACGGGATCCATGCCAATATAACAAAAAAAAAAAAAAACATGGCGGAGCACGGGCGGTAGATTCCGTATAAGAGACCCTCTGGAGAGAGTAATCTGTGTATATGGTTGTATCATGTAAATCATTCGTGTCGATCCTCATGCGTCGTTGAAGATATCCATGGCAACGAATTTGAATAGAGAAGCAGAGAAAAAGAAGAAGGAAGGAAAAGGATAGGTAGAGCTCTCTCGCCTAAGATACTTGACCGACATCAACGGGAAAAATAAGAAAGAGAGAGGAAAAATTGCTACCCCAGATACAGGGTCTGTGCAAATTGCTGATGACGTCCATGCCTCCATTGGGCCCAGGGGCCCGGTTGTATCAGAAAAATATCGGGCATTGTACTTGCATGCTCTCAGGGAAAAGTCGCGATCCACCTGCGACAAAGATCGTTCGCTAGTTAAACTAGTAGAAAAGAAGGTCCAGGGAATCGGCACCGGTCCGAAAAGGCCGCCGCAGCGCGCTACGAGTTCTCTCTCGATTCGACGGCCAAAAGACTGGACCCGACACGAAGCAGGGCGTAGCCAGTGTGTGTGGTGTTGCAGAAAACGAAACCCGCCAACGAAGAGACCTGACTCGCTCGCAGTGAGCGCGCGCGCGCGCGTCAATCCGCATCAAAGAGACCCAATCATGTGTAGCGGCTGTTACGACTTCCGGCAAGTAGTATGTAGCACAGCCGCTACAACTGATGTGGTGATAGGCGGCATCAATCATGACGGGCCGCTCTCCGGATTGGATAGGATTGGATTGCGATACAAGTGCGTGCTTGTCGGTCCCAACGGCGACGTTCTGTCCAACCATACAGAGCTCTGAGTTCTTCCCGTAATGCTTCGATGCGGGCGACAGTCAGCCCTGGCTGCTCAAACACCAGTACGGAGTAGCACTAGGGATGATGGTGTCGCCAGGCTGCTTGACGCCTCGACAAAGCCCCAGTCGAGACGAGCCCAACAGGCAGCGGCTGAATATGTATGAAATCGGGTGCCCCTCAGCACGAGCTGCAGGTCGCCTTGCCGCCGTGCCAACACCTGCATGAGCTTGTTTAAGCTGCGTCCAGGACTACAAATCGTGCTACTACCTATTACGTAGCAGCAGTAGCAATACCACTGCTTGCTGCTAAGAATATGCTCGATAGCCCGTTCTATTTGATAGGCTCAGCGTGACCCAACCGCTGCTGCAGCCGTCTGCAAGAGCCTGCGCGAGGCTGCATGATGATGCCATTGACGGTCGTTGGGGGATGGATTCATACGTACCTACTGCAGCTGTGTTTTCCAGGTCGGCGGCAGTAGTAGAGCCCGGCATTGAGAATAGAATTCAGACGTGAGACCCCCAAAGATGCTCAAGTCTCGTAATGATAACCACTATGGCCCATCTGCTGGAACTCGGGTGTGAGATGAGACAAGACGAGACAAGACGAGACGGTGCCGGATCGCATCGGGTGGCTTTCGCAGGTACGGTGAATGGCCAGCGCCCAGGATGATAATGATCCCACACGGATAGAGGGAGCCGGAGGACAGTTTGATTGGCACAGGGGTGGTTAAGGTAATAGCCCCCGCTGCAGTTGTTGTGCTAATGAAGACAGACTTGTGCTATTCTGTAATGGTAGCGAACTGCGATGTGTGTCAGGGGCAACGAAAGAGCGCATTGACCTTTGGAGAAATTTCAATCTATCAGCGGTATTAGTGCTCCATAATAGCAGCAGTAGTATTATGTTATGGCGCCATCCAAGAAGCAAAGACCACACTGACTTATCATATCATGTACAAGTTCTACGACAAGGGTGGCCGCTTTTTTTTTTTTTTTTTTTTTTTTCCCTTTCCCCTCTCTTTCTTTTTTTGCAAGCATAATGAAAAAACTAATAGCTTTAGGCAGTAGTCGCTTCTCCCCCCCGGCCAATGCATGTACACAGGAAGGTATACGAGTATATGTCGTGAGACAGAGAGGCCCGGTTGGAGTTGCCGTGACAAGAGATGGGCCGTCTGCTTTTTGAGATCTTGTCTCTGAATATGGTCGATCGTTATATGTACGCAGGACTATAAGCATGCTGTAGAAGTGGTAGTAATATCGTCACGCCTGCCCACTCAGCTGAGTAGTTACAGCAGCAGTGCTACACCATGAGGGTAGTAGTAGTACTCGTATAGCTGTCCTCTGGTATTGCCTGTAGCGACACAGAGCACAAGGGATTTCTGAATTGCCAGACTCAACCGACTGAGCCAAATCCAGGGGCCGGGTAGCGAGAAGCGACGCGATGGTAGACGAAGCGACACGACGACGTTTTGCTGGCGTACTAGCAGTATTCGTGCAAGTGACAGCTGTAGCGATGCTACGGTGACGAGAAGCCACGTGAAACCGGATATTACCTACTCCTTTGCCTATCTTTGTTCGCCTCTCCTATCGCTTCTGTCTCTCTAGCGAGCGAGAGCTTGGGCAATCTTCAATTCAATGCTGAATGATGCCAATTAGGCGATGTGCTGTAGCTTCAAGGTTAGTCGCAATGCTAATACTACCTGTCATGCACTTCGGCTTTAACGTCACGGTCTGACCTACCTGATTGGGCTGCCATTGACGGAAATAAGATGGATGAAGTGACATCAAGAACTCCTGTGCGTTCCAAGACGGCGCTCAAATCTGAGATACGGAGTGCTTCTTTGCTGTGTCTTTAAGGTTCTTCTCCGCCGATATATCGTGGTGGAAAGATGATCGATAGATAGGCCTAGCGTCGTGTTTGATAGACATTAAGTCCCCTAGATAAGCTGTTATCCAGAAGATTTATAGCTGAAGCTCGTTGATGCCTTTATTTGCGTGGACCCGAGTAGCATCTTTGCTAGCCTGGTAAATTGCTATAAGACTTCAACCAGGATAGGTGAGATTGAATCATTTTAGGATCCCGATGTGGCACTTTCGGTATAATCAAGAAGTAAAATAAAAATTCAAACAGGAAAAGAAGTATGAGCTATTACGAATACCACGCCGTGATAATTGGAAATGGGAAGCGAGGAGCTAATATCGATTGCTCCAATGGCACCGCAGAATGGAGTCGCGGCCGCTCCCCCACGAACGTCGATTGCGGATGCGCGCACTTGGACCGATTCGCAGACCGAGGCGCGAGGGCCGCCTTCTTAGCGACGGGTCTTTGATGGATACTGTGTAAGTTGGGCGGGCCATGAGAAGGCTGAACGGCCAGTGCTTATCATCATTGAAGAAACGTGCGAGGAAGAAGGGCCCGTGATGGAGGAGAAGAAGAGTAAAAAAAGACGAATAGAGCAAGAATATACAAATTCGAGAACGTGAGCCAAAGTTTGACAGACAGATGGAAAGTACAGTAGAGAACAAGGGGGTTACGCTAATACCTCACAGATAGCACCTTCCCTCCACCTTGGGCGCGCATCTGTACCTGTACCTGAACCTGAACCTGAACCTGTGATATGGCGTCTTCCATCTCCCGTCTTTTTTCTTTTTTCTTTTTTCCTTTTTTTTTTTCTTTCTTTTTCGGTGGTTCCTCACTCTTGACTTGTACATATGTATGGCGCGTGCCCTTGCATCCCATCCTACGATGCCACTGGCCCAGGTATGGAGAACCTGCACTCCGTGCCTACGATATGCACGCTCTAGGGCTCTAGGTGCAGCGGCAGACGCGCAGGTATGGAGTACGGGTACAAGCACTAAATAAAGCTGATCTATTTTCGTCACGGTGATGTGATGTGATGGCAATGCAGCAAGTAACAAGAGGCAGAAAAGATCAATCAATGTTGCTGAAGTACAAGCAGATGCTGCTATCATATCGTATCGAGAATTGGTACTAGGTAACGTTCCGCTCCATGAACCGCGGTTGGACAGAATGAGACAAGCCCGCTCGGAAAAGTGTTCCAGGCGTCGGTTTTTTTTCTGTCTGACAAGGGGGATAAGAAGGGATTGCGTCTTAAAAAGGGTGACTTAAAATGGGGAAAACAAGGTAGCAAGCCAACTGCGTCCTTTTCACTTTTCACACTGATAGTAAGAGACGCCTATTCTTTCACGTGAATGAATAGGTAGGCATCTAGATTAAATGTTCATGCCGTCTGCAAACAGTTGCTGCGTTGGACAAACATCAGACATCAGTTCTCAACACGTGCGCGTATCGGTACATGCAGGTCCAACTTTGGTGTAGAAGTGCCCATGCGCGTCCAGACTTTTCCAACAAACAAAAAGTCCCAGACCGACCAGATAAGTAGCATCGGACGGGTGATGGGCCCGATGGGACTGAGCTCCAATCGCCATCGGACCCGGTTTCTCCTTATTCCTTACAGCACTGCACACTTGGCTGCTGCTAGCTTCGACTCATTCATCCTCTCTGCCTGGGGCCCTCTGTTCGCTTCCGTCTCCAGCGTCGTCGGCTCGCGCAAAGTACCTGTACCTGTGCCATTAGTAGCTCATGCTCGCAAGGTTGCATTGAACCCCAGCCGCTGCAGTTGATCTCCCTGCGGCTAGACGCCACTCTCCGACCTCCTGTCCATCCACAGCTGCTGAATAGCACGCACAGAGCACGGGCATCCGTCCTGTTCTCCATCTTTGGCGCCAAAGCTGCTGTCTTCCGCCTCTGGGCGAGGGAAAGAGACTCACCGCACAATTGATCAGCTGCCTCTCCTACATAGACTGACTGGCTGCGGTTTGCCGCTGGCAAAGCTAGGGACCATCCAGCCAATCCATCAGGGGATCCGGCAAGCATTGATTGATGCAAACCGCAATCGATTCACCTCTCTTGGAGTCGTGGTACTAGTACAAGCGCCAGCCATGCCACATCAATATTGCACAGCGGCGGTTGGTGCACTCAGGGCCCTGTCTAGCCCCAAAAGGCTCAGGACGCCCAAAAAAGGGCCCTTCCTGTTGAATCACTGGCCACCACCGTCCCCCAAATTGCCCCGAAAACTGGCGTCCATCATTGGCCCTGCCGCTGCTTCTCCACACCGCTGGCCAAGCCTCCACCCACCCCCTTCAACTGCGTCCTGGTCGGCTTCCTTTAGGCACTGCTAGGGACCGGAGCTAGGCTGGCTAGGCCTGCTAGGCCTTGTAGGCTGGGGCCGGCTAGGGGTGCTGGGGGCCCTGGCCCGGCGCTCCAGTCTGCTGTGCTGTGCTGTCCGTCCAAAGGCCCCAGCCAATCTCTCGCTCACCTTTGGCTGCATCCGCGTTCCTCCTCCAATCCTGGACCTCTCCTTCACCCTTTGCCTTTTCCCGTATTTCCACCCCTCTTCCGTCTTCCATCCTCCATCGTCCTCATTCATTCCTCTCAATCGCCCTCTGCGGCTCTTCCTTTGCATTTCCTGCTCTGTGCATTGTCTTCTGGCCAGCTTCTGTTTAATTTTTTCTTCTTCCACCACCGACTGTGAAGCTCCTAACCGTCGCCTTCTCTACTTTCTCTACCAGAGTCGGATATTCTTTTCCCTTTTATTGGCCGAGGCACAACTCCTGAAGCCAAGAGAAAAAAAAAAGTATAAAGCTGCGGAATCAGCCTTTTCTTACCCCCTAGCATCATCATTCAGAGCTGTTTACAATGGCTTCAGCAACCAAGGTATGTATGCCCAATCGAGAACAGCTTTGAGCGCGCAATTTTTCCTGCTCTCTCCCTTTTTTGCCAATCTTTGCTTTAGCCTGTTCTGTATAGCTGACATTGGCTGCGCTGCAAACCAGTTCCTGCGAGAGTATAAGCTGGTAGTTGTCGGCGGTGGTGGTGTCGGTAAATCTTGCTTGACCATCCAATTGATCCAGAGCCACTTTGTCGACGAGTATGATCCTACAATTGAAGGTTCGTCGCTTCCCTACAGCATCTGGATCCCACCTCTCTCCCCCTTTACAAGGCCTCCCAATTTGCCAACGGTGACTTCTATTGGCTCCTTTGCCTGATTGTTCCTTCGGCTTCTTCTCTCCGGCTTTACTCCCTACGAGCTTTGGCTAATCTGTCTTTGATTTCAACAGATTCATACCGAAAGCAATGCGTTATTGATGATGAGGTCGCCCTGCTCGATGTTCTAGATACCGCTGGTCAAGAGGAGTACAGTGCCATGCGAGAGCAGTACATGCGCACAGGAGAGGGTTTCTTGCTGGTCTACTCAATCACATCACGACAGAGCTTCGAGGAAATCACCACTTTCCAGCAGCAAATCCTGAGAGTCAAGGACAAGGACTACTTCCCCATGGTCGTCGTTGGAAACAAGTGCGATTTGGAGGGCGAGCGAGAGGTCACCAGACAAGGTAAGCAAATCGTCATACTCCGTCATGGCTAAGCAATGCTTCCTTTCTGGCTTATCTAACATTTTTTTTTTCAAACAGAGGGAGAGGCGTTGGCGAAATCATTCAACTGCAAGTTCATCGAGACATCTGCCAAGTCCAGAATCAACGTTGACAAGGCCTTCTACGATATTGTTCGCGAGATCCGAAGATACAACCGTGAGATGCAGGGCTACTCAACCGGCGGCGGCAACAGCTCTAGCGCAAACCCTCCCAAGCCCATGGACATTGAGGGCGAGGAGCAGGAGGGTGGCTGCTGCAAGTGCGTCATCATGTAAGAAACACTCTGCTTTGCAAAGCGGGGGAAGGAAGGCTGCGCTGCCTTGTTCATGATGCTAGAGGCGACATTTCATGGTGAAAAGGAGAGGATTTTGGACGCTCCATGGCACGAGATGCAGCACGTAGCACAACGCGCGACGAACGGCCTTGAACGATCAACGAGCACAATACCTCTCAATGCATCGGGCGGGGAGTCGGGTTCTGACTTGGGTCGCGCATTCGGATTTCTTTTTTTTTATTTCTTTCCCTTTTATATTTCATGTCTTGTTCTATTTCGACGAAAATTCTCTCCGTGCGCCATTGAGAGATATACCGACGGGATAGCTGTGTCAAACCCCAAACACAGCCTGGTGCCCATGCCCGGAGCGCGTGCGTGTGTGTGATTCTGCAGCGTGCTGGCGAAAAGGGCTGCTCGCTGCACACTACCGGAAGGAAAAAGAAAAGAGTCTCGGGAGGGTAAATTTTGAATCGCGGGAGAAGCGAAAGGAAGAGGGTGAGGCGCTGCAGCATACGTGCGAGCAGCCAAAGGTCGAACAGGGGGCCTTGACTATTAAATTAATCCTCTCCTGGGCGGGTTTGCGAGGATGGTTTTTCTTGACTCTGAAAGTATGGGTCATACGTTCTTCTCTTATATCCCATTATTTCACACGTGTAATTTCATTTTTTTTCTACTTATTGATTGTTAACTTGCATGGTAATGAGGATTCGCTTCAAGATTCTACCGTCCTTTTGTATCTAGGACAGCTTATCAATTCTACTGGGATGCCCCTTTTTGAGCTATTCCACTGGCTCACTTTGATGTTGCTCTATTCTTCTGTTTAATCCTTCTTTTCTTTTTTTCTTTTTTTCTTTCCTTTTTCCTTGTTATCTTAGCTTCTTGTTAGCTTCGTTTACCCTTTCTTTTTTTCTTTCCCTTCTCGCAACTACCCCTCTTTTCTCTCCCTTGATAAGACATAATAATAAAAAGCAAACTTGTACTTGTCGCAAGTTAAATGTGCACTAATCCGAGAAAGTGACTCGCTTGACTTCAAACATGTGGTGGCGCTACAAAGTACAAACAAGTGTTCCGTTAGCTGGTCCTTGATATTAGGGAGACGGGGCAAATATGTTGGAAGAGAGAAGGAATATGGGGCGCCAAGCGTATACTGATATGTCGCATCTGGTCAGCGGCTTTGTAAGGATCTGGAGATTTACCCCGGACTATTAATCTGATTTATACAGCAAGCTGGGTGAAGAAAGATCTAGGCATGGCAAAAGGAGTATACACAGGATACATGTGTTGGATACTGTTTGTGGTTGTAAAAGTTGGACTGAAAAAGACAAAAAAGAATCTTGTTTGTATAAGGCTACTAATTATGATATCTTGGACTTTTCGTTTTTCTTCTTCATGGATACCTCTTGTGGCTTTAATTGCTTCGCGCTATCTCTTTCTTATCTTCCATTTCGCTGCTGTACATGCATTTTCTATGTAGTGCTGTGGGCGGACTTTAGGCACTTGACAAATAATACATGGTGTTGAACTTTTTGAAGGGGGAAAAAAAAAAGAAATGAAATATATTTGTAAGCCGCCCTCATATGGTCTTCAGCCAGTATACGTTTGGTCTGTAATTCTGATTTTACTTGTTTCCATCTGGCCGGCTTGCGAGTTATTGAAGGCCATTGTGCGTGAGCATCGGCTCCGAGATTGAAGGTATAAAACAAGAAAAAAGATAATGAGAGTAATTTGTGTTGAGATACATAGCTGGCTTGTTACGGAAATGTTATTGATTCTTGACTGAAAGTCGAATCTCCACATGTGAATAGCAGTATTCATTGTGTCGCGCTCTTGTGGCATCTCAATAAGTCTTCGCGCTCAGTAAAAGCCTTCACTACATGCTTTAGACTGCTCAAAGAAAAGTCTCTTATTTACTCCATCTATTTCTAAAATACCTAGGAAACGTCACGCCATATCACGAGAATTCCGTTCCGTCGGGCTGGGATGCTCTAGCGTACCTCTGTCAATATCAACCTTCAGCTATACTGCCCAGTGGTACCCAATCAGGATCCCAAGAAGTCTTGGCAATATATCTAGTAAACACTTTTAATCTTTCAAAAAGATGGTATTGGGTGCACTTGAGTTTCCCCTGCATCCAGCTATGCTTGGACAATGGTGACTGTACCTCAGCCTCAGCCTCGCTGTGCAAATCACACCAGATCATTGGCCGAATTCAAGAGCTAGGTGGCCACGCATACGGTCAACTATTCATACTCTTCTATGCGTATCCTTGTACATCTAGGATAAGACAGCCTTTTTTTGCTGAGTGGCTGAGAAAGCTGAAAGCGCGGCTCACGGGTTTCTCGCTACTCCTGCCAATCAGTTGCTGTTATACCCAGGTCTGACGTGCCAAAGTGTATTTATGATTGCTGAAAAGTGATAGAAAGAGGAAAAAGAAAGCATAATGATGAGTCCTAGCTGAATTATGTTCAACTGCCACAGAGGATAAACATGGGCATTGAGAGGATGAAAATTATAAAAGGCCAGATACACACAGACTTGAGAGTGATTTACTAAATCCACTCCACATCTCGCTCACAACCTCAGAATCATCGCAACCCTCTACTCCTAGAGACATCTTTCAAGATGGGTCTTCCTAAGATTCCGATTCAACTCTCTTGCTTCTTCTTCTTCGTTGCTACTATTCAAGCATATACGGTATTTAAGCCCAAATGCTCAGCCCCTACCGCTGAGGCGAATTATGTGGCAGCTCCCGATTCCCGCGGCACACTCGATATACTGTTAAAATCTATATTTACAATATTTGCATGTACTTGGACCATTCATCATCCCAATGTCCCAAGGCAATATCACGGCTACGTTGATCAAAACCCCAAGTCTAAGCTATGCGGTTATCTTAACTTGGGTCCTTTGAGCTGGCGTCTAAAAGGATTCTTGAAAAGTACAGGGAGAATGATCCTCACGATATTTGCGCCTGAAGTCATTATTGCCGTGGCTTATAACGACCGTCTTGCAACCCGTGAGGATCATGAGCTATTGGACAAGCTGGCAGAAGGCGAAGAAGGCGGCAAGGTGGAATGGTCGTTGGACCACACTTATTACGCGAACATGGGAGGCTTCGTCATCAAGAAAACAAACGCCGAAGCTGAGACTGGAAACGGATACAACTTACACCACCTGTCTGGGAGAGACGTTTATATTCTGCGAAAGAAGAGATGCATCGGAAAGCTGCCAAATATTACCCAAAGAGAGCTCAAAGACAGGGTCAAAAGCGATTCACTTATAAAGGCAATCTCCATCTCGCAGATTATCTGGTCTACAGCACGGATATTGGATCGAACTGTTTACGGGCTGGCCATATGTGCCCTTGAGCTGACGGTATTGGCTTTTGCACTCTGCGCGATTGCCATCTATTGGCTGTACTGGGACAAGCCTAAGAGCATTGGCGTATCTACAACCATTGACCGATTAATAAGCTATGAAAGGATAAAGGACATTCTTGTGGAAGCGAGAACTCGTGGTGTCGATATCAATAACATGGAGATTGTTGAGAATGATGGCAGCATCAAGACAGAAAGCAATATGAGCATCAGCACAGGAGGGGTTATCAATGAAGCTTGTAAGGGGGGAATAACGGTCGATGAAATTGCAACCGAGAAAGGGATTGTTAAAGCATACAGTACTAGACACATCTTTTCCCTAAAAAGAACTCGCGCTTTCTCCTCAAGATCTGAAGCGGTTGATGGTGCACCACTGAGAATCGACACTATTCGGGAAGGCAAAGAATTCGATAACAAGACATTCTGGGCACTGTTAGTGGGAGTAGTGCTATTTGGAGGGATACATGTTGGAGGCTGGCGCGTCTAGTTTCCTTCAGAGACACATCAGATGCTGTGGCGAGTCGCAACCATGTACTCTGTTGGCTGTGTGTTCATCGCCTTGGTGGCCGTCTTCCTGCGCAAGATTGGAGAGAAGCCCAGCGGCGGGTTCTTGCTTGGAACGCTGCCGAGATGTTGCGGCAGATTTTTGCACGTCGTTGGCCTGTTGCTCTACATTGTTGCGCGACTGGTTATCCTGTTTGAGATGTTTTGGACTCTGCTCTTTCTGCCCCCCGGGGCTTATGTTTCTAGCCAGACATTTTACAACTGATTCAACGGGATATTCCTAGCCTTGGTCTTTGTGTTACGTTGATGGATTTTTGGTACATCATTTGCATGTATTCTGGAGCTGCTATTGTAAGAATGGGCTTTTATTTTCTTTTGGAAATCTCATTAATACCAGGTTAATTTACTATCAAATCAAATACTCGCCTCCTAATGCTGCCCTTATGACCGAATGATTGAATACAAACACTGTAAAACTGCATGCCTCTAATACTACACGTAAATACCTTAGTCCGACACCGCCTCTCACTCGCCATATCCTAATCCTCCATCCTCGGCGGACACCACTGCTCCCAACCCGGCACAAGCCCTGCACTCTTCTGGTTCACGACCCAATCGCCACAGGCAAGGCACGCCCACGCCTTGGGAGTCGTCTCGGACAGCAAATCTGCCAGATCCATCGACCGGTTCGCCTCATACGCCGACTTGTCAACGAGACAGCCCGGACAGACATTGCCGCCGAGGTGCTGCACACACCACTCGCGCATCCTCGCAACCTGCTCCACGAGCAAACGGCCATGCAAGCTGCGATGCCGGCCGCAGAGCCGCTGGGCGAGCAGCTTTGTTGCGCAGGAGCATCCCGTCATGGGCCTGGCCGCGCCCCTGAAGTTGATCCTGCCAAAGCGCGTCTCGAGCTCGAGCTCCGTCTTTGTGTAGTAGCTGTCGCTGCAGTCGCCCCAGATGTTGACTGCGCCGACGGTTCTGCGCCTGGCGACCTCGCCCACGCTCTGGCTGACCTGGGCTGTGCAGCCGGGGCAGAGATATGCGCGCATTGCCAGTATCTGCGCCTTGGTGAGGAGACTGCTGGTTAGATCACGAGCACTCTGCTCGCTGCAGTCGTTGCAGACGGTTGCAAAGTCGGCTCCGTGCAGGAGACATTGGCAGACAGAGTCCAGAGAGGTGGGATTGCTGCAATTCGTTTCGGAACAGGTCCAGTCGCCGTCTTGTTCAAAGGGCCTGACGTCCTCTGGGATGAGGCCCAGGACATTGTAAAAGGGAGACTCGATCTGTGTTGGACAGCCCGGGAAGAAACTGTACAAGGTGGGTATTGCTGGCTTCAAGCGCGGCAAAATCATGGCTTCTTGCGTAATGGTAAGCGGGTTATGATCGATAAATTCTATATCTTCTATTGCTGATAAATCTCGAGAATCAAGCTGCATAGACTCATATGTATCCAAATCTCGATCTATATCCATCAAATAGAGGCTGGGATCTATACCGGAAACTTCAAACGGGCTGAATTGCAAGTTTGCAGCCATCTGGCTGAAAGGAGCTGCAGCGTCAAAGCCAAACTGGCCCTGTCCAGGCAACGTGGAACACTCGAATGGAGGTGAAACGACTCCATCGTCAATCATGGCCGAGTTTATAAACTCTGACAGCCAGTCAGGGGTACCGGCGTCGCCATTATCGCCATGAGCACTCACAGAACGATTACGCTCATTATCATCATCACCATCAGTAGATTTTGTTCGGATACAGAGACTGTCGGCATTGGTGTTGCTCGCTCCATCGTTGCCTCCATCATCGTCTTCCTCGTCACCACTGCCATAGCCAGGAAAATCTGGAAAAAGAGCCGAAACAATCTTCCCCTGCCGAAGTTCCCGCATCTTCTGCTGCACGGCCTCTACACGCTCTCGATAATGCCCAATCTCATTCATTGGCACAGCCTGAGGCCAGCAATCCTTGATCCACGCCACAATCTGCTCTCGAGTTATCTCGCTTGCTCGGCCACTTACACAACCCCCCTGAGCTGCATCACCGTGCGGCGGCGCTCCCGGCGGCCTCAGCATAGATCGTAGCTGAACGCCCATCGTGGCGATGAAGTTTCTGTTCTGAATCTCGGGGAGGCCGTACATGTTTGTGGCCGGACCTACCCAGTGTTCAATGGCAGATCCGTCCTTGGGGTCATCAACTCCCCCAGCACCATATCCCAGCGCGAGATAGTAAAGAGGTCCAGGGGGAGGGTCCAACCGCCCTTTGATACAATATTTCGCCGTGTCTCCTCTCCAATCATCACACTTGTCCCCGTGCTTGACGCATGAATCACACGGCCGCTGAAGATCGCAGTTCCTCCCTGATTCTCTGCAGCATTCGCATTCCATAAAGGGCAGGAAACCCCCAACACCGACTCTGGACAAGTCGAAGATGGGATACGACGTATCGTCATCGGCGTCGATACAGTCCACGCCCAGCTGGGCACAGCGATTGCAGCTATAGAAGAAGGAACTGGCATCGGCGCGGCAGTGGTCGTGTTCATCTTGTCGACATCTCTTGCAATAGCGGCGGTCTGGGTTGCTCCTTTTGCACTCGACAAAGCCCCGATCAAACACCTGAAGATTGGCGGCCCAAGCCCTCGGCAGAGTCAGACTTTGCGGATTGGCAACAACACGTCCACCGCGGAGACATGTCAGATTATGAGCCTCGCAATATGAACAAGCCCGGTCCCAGGTTGCGCGGTCCTTGAGCCAGCTGCATCCGGAAGTCGTGGTACCTTTCTTCGTCTTGTTATGACAAACATGGCACTCGGCACGTATCCATCGAGCAACGTCAACTCGCGTTTTGGGTCGAGCTTCCATCTCCTTTCCGTTGACCGTGCATTTCCCCTCTCTGCAGGCTTTTGTCGCCGTGCAGCTGTAGCCAAGGGTGGAATCAACATTGCATTGGTCGGCCAGCTTGGTGTTGAGGCATTGATCGCAGGCCGGTGGCTGGTAGCCCATGGGATCGTCAACGCCGTACTTGCGCCAGACATTGTTGATCTGAGGAGGCTTGCACTTGTGGTCGGAGCCCGGATTCTGCGAGCGGTAGTCAGCGCAGTTGGAGCATTCGATGAAGTTTCCTTTCCACCCCTTGGAATAGTCGCAGTATCTCTGTTTGCACATTTGTTTGCCTATGGGATCACGGAGGCAGAAATCACATCTTCTTAATGCTACAGGTTTCTTTGGAGAGGACTGGCTGTCGTCTTTGTGACTGTCATCTCCACTGTCATCTCCGTCTTCGTCTTCGTCTTCGTCTTCATCGTCACCGACTGTGCTCCTTTTCTTTGAATTTTGCCGATTACGTGAGGCTTGTATATTTTGTTGCTTCTGGGCGGCTCGACTGCGAGTTATCCGGCCAGTATACGCTCTTCGCAAGGTCCTATCCTTGATTCTGTCTGCAATACTGGCCATGATTGCCAACTCTTTCACTCTACTCTACCCTGAAAAGTGTGTTGATGCCGATGAGGTCCTCAATCTGTAGTGTAAGGGCTGATGGACGTAGATTGCTTGAAACGTCTTCTCGTCTTCGTGGAGCAAGTTTACTTTATCAGTTACTTACAAATACATATGAGGTCGGCATAAAGGGGCATTATTATGATGTCTATAACAAGAGTGCACTGGAGCCTTTTCTAAAATATAACAATACATTCTTGAACTATTATGAAGTTGTCTTGAAAGTGTAATCTCAAAGAAACTGATATGCAGTTGAAGAGTTTCATCGACATGAACATGTTCGAAACGAGAGAGACAGTAAAGACACTACACAAGGACTTTGTATAAAGTCGAAGAGGATTTGCATAGCACCAAGGTTAGCTGAAAGCACCGTGTTTATTCACTGCAGGACTCAAAGTGCTCATGATCCATTCAGTAGTCTAATTCGGATATACATGCAGTGAGTTGAACAATTAAGAAAAGAAAAAAAAAAAGGAAATACATCAAGTCCATGTACAAAGAAAGCTAAACAATACATTCTTTCAAAATATCTTCTTTCACACGCAAAACTCCCAATGGCGCCCATTCATACATTCTATAAACAACTCCTTTGACACTTATCCCCAACTCACACACACAGCATCAACACCACACCCATCAAACAATGTCCTTTTTCAAAAACACGCACGGAATCACCTCCTGCACCGCCGTCTTCGGATCCACCCACGTATACGCCCGATCATCCCGCGCAATAGCCTCGTACCCCTGCCGCACATACCACTCCTCGTTGGATCTGAAATCCTTGGCCTCGACCTTTCGCCCAGTCATCTTGGCGTAAAAGGCCAGGCAGTCCGGCCGTGTCTGATACTCCTTTGTCGCAGTGTCGAGAGCCATGGTCGTGGCGCTGAGAGGCGGTAGGGTGGCCAGATGCTCGATTTGGTGCATTGCTGAGCGGCCGAAGCCGCCGGATTGCATCGTCCTGGATAAAAGAGGCGGATGAGAGCTGATTGACTGGATGGTGAGAGACTTGGGGGTTGCAAGGGGGGAGCCTACCGTGAAATGTAGAGTGATTTGACCCATACTGTGGATTGGGGGAGTGAGAATCGCGTGTTTCGGTCTGGATAGAGATCGAGGGCGATGTGGCCGATTGGGAGGAAGGATATTGAAGTTGGTGTTCTTGGTGAGTTGGCGAGAGTGGTGGCTGAATCGATGAGGGCTTCTTTTTCCTGTTTTTGGCAAATGAATGAATACATTTTGACACACTTTATTGTTTCACAGAGAGGCTTTTGATCTTACTGCCGGATATTTTGCAATGTGCTTCGCCATCAAGTCATCCTTTCCGGCAAGATCATCGCTGAGTTTCTACAATACCTCACCGTCATTAGTCAGTGAAAGCAGANCCCTCCACTCGTCAATTAGATCCTCATCCCACGTGCAAGCCACGCGCTGCTCGTATAACCGCTGGCCATGGGCGTCGCTGTCGGGATCCCAGGGAACGAGCTCGACGTTGTTGTATTTTGAGGACGGTAACTGTTCCGGAGGAGACATTTTTTTTTTTTTTTTTTACACTCGGTGTGGATTGATTTAATATTGTCTAAATCGTTTATTTGATCCTTTCTCTCTGTGTGTGCGTAAAAGCAATCAAGTTTGGTGAATGTCCAATATAATACATACAAATAGTAGCTGAGAAACAGCAAAGATTGTAAAACAACTTGTTTGCGATTTAAGGATGGATGTTTGAACTAATCTAGGCTATAGCCCATCTGTCTAGTGAAAAAAAGTCTCCAAGTCAGTTTTAGAACTCGCAGGAAAAGGCACCAATCACGCCCCCTCATCAGTCACTTGTATTTGAAAAGAGCCTAGGGCGCGCCCTCTCCTCTCCAATGCATGTTGCTTTTGACACCCTGCGCTGTGACTCATGTGGGGGGACAGCGGAGAAATAATGCACATCAGGCCAGCATCTCGATAAGGCAACTTTTAGAGTTGTGATATATATAGGTATAGTATATGTATAGTATACCTTTATAGCTAGTAGAATTTGAGAGGATGGTATATTGGTATTGTATTAATTAACTAGCAGCCTGGCGGGACTGAATATTCATTCACATAATCCTGGTAGGCACCATATCCAAGCCCCTTGCTCGCAAACACACGCCAGATGACGCAGTAGTGACGGCCGCCGTACCTGTTCAGCTCGGCTTGTATGAAGGCATCGCGTGCGGTGATGAAGGTCGGCTCGCAAGGCTGGATGCTCAGGCCGTCCATGTACAGATGCATATAAACAACGTTGCCCGAGGGTCCACTAGAATCAACCAAGAAATTATCACTCCAGCCGTAGTTATCCGTCAAAGCAGCCAGGACGTTGTGCAGCATATTCGCCCATACTTCTCCAATAAGATGCACGTCCGCCGAAGGTGGTCCATCCTGATATGTGAGCGGGTTGACAGCCGGACTTCTGGAGTAAGGGTAGGATCGAATGCCTCGTTGGTCACCCGTCACATAGCTGCCCAGCGTAAAGTCTGCAATAGCGCCCGTCTGCTCGAGCCATTCCGCAAATGCATCGCCCCAGCCCAGAGCCATTCCTCTTGAAATACGGCTCTGGAGGCAGGCTGCAGTACCGCCACCCGTAAGGCGAGTTGCAATGCCAATGGCGCACTCATGGGCAATGATATCGTTCTCTAAACCGCCATCACGGTCTGGATGGGTGAGATCGTAGATAAAGAGGCGAAGCCGGCCACTCTGTCCATCTGGTGGCGTAGCAAAATCTGCATAGTTGATGTAGGCGGAATCCTGTATGGAGATGGTGATGCGATCGTTGCCCTGCCCTCCTCTGCCGAAATTCTCGTCCTGAAAGTTAAAAGTGGCTTCCGTAAACCCATATATATACGATATGTCATGGATGCTGTTGACAACGTAAAAGGCATTTACAATAGCTGCGCCAACATTCTGGGGGACGCGCGGGTCGGCTGTCCCGTTGAAGCTGTAGGCAAAGACGTAGGGGCTGGTCTCCGAAGCAACGCCAGCTTGAGACCCCTTGAAGGCGATCGCGTTGTTGCCCGCAGTTGAGTTCGCAGTGACCCAGCCGTAGGGGCTTGATGCGCTTTCCGGGTTCACGATAAACTCGAACCCCTCCCGAGGGTCTTGCCAGGTAATGGGAATCGCTACGTACGACAGCCGCCTCTGCAGCTTGCTGCTACTTGAAGACTCTGCGGATTTGGGACCGTCGACCTCATCTGCAGCCACTCGATGGCGTGGGGCGTAATCACCAGAGCGCCATCTCCGATCAACAAGCGACTCGACGCCTCCCGTCGCTATGCTGATTCTCGCGTTCCACGAGTGGTCTGCCTGCTCGAGCAGAAAATCCCATACATGGGCCAAAGAACCATCTGGTCTTCGCATTGTTGACTGCTGCGCCGTGGCCATGCCGTCGACGGCAGTGCTGGTAGGAATCCCTCTGATGACGAACCTGGGGGTCTGAGACTTGTCGGATTCCACCGCCGAGATATGGACGCTGCTGAGTTCCTGGTCATTAATTTCTGATTCGACGCGCCTACTCAATGTCTGTAATGCTCCTTTGAGCGAGTCATATTGGGAACTGCGAGCTGTCAGACGACCATATCCCGAGCGCATTGCCTCGCGCACTTGGTGGACTGGTGCAAAGGTCTGGGACGAGGATATGACCCTCCCGTGCTTGTCAATGTTGATGTTGGCGACGCCATCGAGCATGTCGACCCGATCGACTGTCTGGCGGGCATAGACATGACTGACTCCCGTGTCTTCATTGGTGACGGAAGCCGTGATTCGGACATTTTCTGCCTGGATCCCGTGGTTGTGCTCCAAGTAAGCCAAAGCAAGCGGGATCTTCTGCTCAGCGCCGACATTGTCACGCTGCTGTACGCCCGCAAAGTGTGAGACATCCACTGGAGCATCATAGATCCGGAACCGAGAGGGGGCTGCTGCTTGCGGCTCACGAATAAGAGCTATCTTATCGTCAGACTCTGAGCTGCTCTCAAAGCCTGCAACACTCTGTACCGCCGCCAGAAAGGCAATTATGAGTTTCGGTATGAAGAGCATGCTGGCAGCTCTGTTTCGTCTACCTTCTTGTCAGGCAGGTGTGTGCACGCAAAGATGTGTCGAGCTCGCTCGCAGTTTATATATTGAATTTTGCTCGAGGATACCACAACTGGGACTCGACTGAGACATCACTGGACTCGACTGAGACATCATGCATAATTTCTGGTATCAGCATGCCTAAGACACGACGGCTAACCTATTTGTCCGTCACCTCTGACTGGAAATTGCTCCACGACAAGAGGTGGATCTTGTGGGACGCTGCTACTATGTATATCCCTTCACAGTGATTCGTAGCAACATTACATAACTGATCACATTTTGGATTATTGCAGTTGCTGATATGGATTGTTGCAATGGCACCAGTAGCCTTATCAGTTGGTGGTAGTGAGTATGTATTCACCATGTCGAACCCCGTTACAGCATCACAGGAATTAGGGAAAGACATAAACAATCGGTCAAAAACATCCATTTGGTCTCAGACGAAAGGATCAATCCGTCTATATACACAGTGATTCGGTCCTATCTCGGCAGCTAGGAATCAAGAACTATTCTGACTCTGAATTCTCCATCTGAACTGTGACTGTGACAAAAACCCATATGTCATCATTTCGGTAGGCCTTCTTAATCGCTCCAGCACCTTCTACAGCGGGAGGAACTATATCTCTCGAATCTGGAGGTGAGCCACGGCTTAATATATTTATAGCCTTGTGGCATTGTAATTCCTGCCTTGGGTTAAAAAAAGGTTTCAGTAGCGTAAGGGAAGGCTTTGTGACTGGCAGAGCGTCTCGGAGCCGTACCAATGGCAGAACCCAAATGTCTCGTTTTTAACCGTTGTCTCATACCGGCAATTCTTTGGTTGGAATCTTCCCATTTGATGCGGGCACTCAGCATCCAGCACATAAGAAATGAAATGGCATCAATCGTGTGGTGTAGTGTTGAAGTATGTTCGAGAGCGCTGCGTTATCGGATCATGACATGCAAGTGACATATTGGCTGTATCGTCATCCCATGACTACCTATACCTACCTCACTGCCTATATTTCTAATGGTGATATCCCAGAGTCCAGCATGGAGGATTTCACCCCCTGTAATCTTTGGAGGCTGCAAGGGCCATGAAGGCATTCACAAGTTTGAGGTTCAAAGTACCTACCCTAAAAAATCACAATTTCAATCATTACCAGATAAAAAACACATGTGAAAAGTTAAGGTGTATTCTAGGATATATGTCCACAAAATATAGGCCAATAGGTTTTCTTTTTCTATTTTCTTTTTCTTTTTTAAAGCTACAACTCTTTAAATTTGCAATGTGCTTTGCTATTAGTAGTTAGAAATATAAATACAGCTCTTTTACATGTTGTGAAAACTTTTATCGAATTTTAAGCTATGGATGTTGTTGATGTTATAGATGGTAAAGCATCAAGTTCCCTAAATGGAGCCGCCAAGTGTGGCACGTTCTATACCGAAATGTACTTATGGAGCAGCTGGTTTGGAAAGGCAACGCTTTGTTGGCCTTTACGAATCGAGTCCGATTTTGGATGTTAACAAAGAGAGGAGTACTGTGTGTATCGTAAAGTATCTCAATACCCAAAATGTGGAAAGAGAGAAACGCATCGGAAGCAAAATATGAACAGAACAATATATATATTTAGGTAGTAGACAGGTCTGCACATCTTCATGGATTGCCCCTACGTCTGTATTCTTCTCTTTTAACTCTCTTTTGACATCCTGGAGCATAAGTAGCGTATGGTGAAGAACCAGCCCCTTTTCAGCAGCAAACTACCCGCCGCCGCCGACTTCATATAATCAATCCCGCTAGACATATTGCCGACAAGCGGCAGCTCCATCCCATATCGACATCCTTTCAGATATCATTCAATATTATTTCTTCGTATTCCCGTCTACATCCTCCTTGTTGAATATGTGTTGTCTCTATCTACTGTAAACATTTGGATATTTGCATAGTCAGCCTCCCCGTAGAACAGTCCCAAATTCCTTTCCTCCCAATGATCCCTCAGCTCCAGATGCCCGTTCATCAACATGGCGTTAAATTTTCGCTCCCTTGACTCAATGATGCTCTCTCCTCTTTGAATCTTCCCTTGATTCTGCGCCCAAATGCCATCTTCAGCTTCTCTTACAATTCCAGCCTTCTATTAACTTCGTGTCTCCTTTAGAGACATACAACATCCACCACCCGCCTGATCCTTGTCATCCGCGCCGGGTACACAAGGATCACGCTTGTGCCTATGCTTGTTACTCTACTGCTTTGCCTCATCTTAGTCTCGCCGTAGTTGCTGCGGAATTTGACTTTTGTGCCTCTTCTTTGTTTTTCTCCTTCTCTCATCCTCGTGTAGCCCTTTACGCACTTCATCCGGCAAATTGAAATCTGGTTGCTTCGAGCTGCCCGAGGCCATCCCGAGGCGCAACGTTACGGCGCCGATATGTATTCGTAAAGTCTTGCAGCAGCACTCTCACATGTCGGATCCCTCCTGCTTCATTCGACGCCAGTCGCTCCTTGATCTTGACCATCAGTCTGTTGGCTTCCTCCGGAGACACGGTGCCTTGAGGCAGAAGCTGAATAGTGTGTGAAACCCATTCAGTCGTCTGCACAGGCAAAAGTTCAAAGAGGCTGAGCAAAACGCCGCTACCATCCGCAAAGCAGTCTCGTGGGAAAGTAATCATCATGCCTGCCATGACTTGTTTCACCAGGTTTTCTCCGTGGCTGCTGAGGAGGTTCTTAACAATCGTCCTGATGCTCGCCGCAGCTGATTCCGGCAGCCCCTCACTGCTAGCCGGATTGTCGCCACCATATGACAGCAAATCTCTCAAGAAGTGGAGAGTAGAAGATAGAGGATCTCGCTGTTCCAAAGTCAAGGCGTAGATGGAGGCTTCGAAGATGGGGACCAAGAGCGGAGATGGAATGAGCTTCTGGGGGTAGTATAGCAGCGCATCGATGAGTAACCTGAAGAAATCGTCAATCACGTCTGGCAGCTCCTTGGGCTGGAGTTCGGTCATGACTCTCAGGAATGTCGTCGTTTGCGCTTCAAAGAATGTATAGATGTTTTCGGCTATACTCGGATCCACGTGCTCTCGCGCCTCAGAGAACTCCCGCAGAATGGCTGACGTAACCCAAAGGAAGCAGCCTTCTCTGGAGACATTGAAACCACTAGCCAGTTTATTTGCCATGTCCGCAAGCATGGGTGTAATGGCCGTCCTGTAGGAAATGACCATGTTTCTCCAGCACCGACACACTCTTTCACAAATTGGCGAAAATGTGAGGAAGTTGTCGAGAACAGTAGACAAGATGGGGAAGACTTCTTGCCAGTATTTGACCGCAGGGTTCTCTTCTCTAGGGTTGACTAGGGGCATCACATTTTGCACAAAGATGGTAATGAGCTGCAGGTGATCTGTTGTCAAGTCAGCAAAAAGAGCTACAATCGCATAGGTGGAAAAGAAAAGAGAGAGAGAGGGAAAGAAAAGAAAAGTCATACCCGCTACTGCTAGTTTCCCCTCGTCTGTGGTCGCATGGTTTGCCTTCGTCATCAGCCTTTGGACCAGCGGATCACAGTACGTCTTGAGCAGATGATACGTCTCTGAAATAGGTTGAACAGCGAGAACATTTGAAACACCTTCAGTGACTTCTTCTTTACTGAGATCAGGAAGTTTATCCAAGACTTGGTCATAAAACGTCTGAAGCTGTAGCACTTGGCCGCTGAGAAGATGCTTGCAGTCAGTGCAGAAGAACTTAAGTGACAGCGCCGCGGCCCGGGTGATTTCTCGAGAGTCGGATTGGAAAGAGTTCACAATATAATTGAACTGAGGCTCCAAGTACTCGGGATGTGCCGCAGTCCATTCAGTGTAGCGCCCGAGCACCATGATCGTCGCAAATCGAAGTTTCTCGTGGCTGGGCATCTGTACAAGGAGCGGCATCAGCTGAGGAAGCACAATGTCTTCCTCCTTGTCCACCATGCGGCCGAGGGCGCGCATCGCGAACAGGGGGGCCTCGAGCTCCTGCCAGTGTGGGACTGACGCCTCTGTTGCCTGGCTAGCATACTTTTGCGTCCATAGCTGAATCGCATGAAGTACTTTGGTAAGGCACTCGGTAACGCCCATTACCTCGCAGCAGTCCTTGAGTGTGTCGCCCATCTGGTGTCGAAATTCACGAAACTTCTCCTCTTGCTCGCGGTCCCCGTCAAACAAGTCAGTTTCGCTTCCCGACTCCGGCGTCGGGAATCGCAGATGCGTGAGTAGAATATCTACAAGTTTAGAGAAGACGTCCACAAGCTCCAACCTGCCCTGTATATATCGTTCCAGCACCAGGTATTGCTTGAGCTCGTACCAAAAGTTGAAAGTATGCTCGATAACGTCGCGATCCTTATCCCGAGCGGCACATTCGAGGACAGCATCGACAATGGGGCGGAATTGAGTCGGCTGTCGTGCGATGGCAACTACCCAGCTTTCCGCTGCAGTTGCCAGCACTTTGGTTAGAGACTTCAACGATTCGGTATCCTCTTCAGCGACCAGGGTGGCGATGCGCGGTGTAAGGCTGATGATTCGTGGGAACAGAGTTTGGATGATATCTTGGGACTCATCAACATCGGCGGTCTCTCTGAGCATCGTGCACAGGCACTCTGCAGCCTCCTGGCTACATTCATCAGATGTAACGCCGTGGAAAATAGCTTCCAGGAGAGGCGAGCTGGCGATGATGCCGACGGGAACCTCCCGAAGCCACGAGGTGATACATTCCATAAGGAGCGGGTTTCGAGATGCAGCAGCTAGAGAGAATTATCTATTAGTTTTTCTAGTTCTCTAGCAGATAGGTAGATGGCTGAAACTAGTGATGTTCGGACGAGGAATGGGCACAAGACTTACGCGAAGACTGTGAATAGTTGATAAGAAGCTGTACAACTTGATCTGCGTTATCTCCCAGCAGCGCTTGTGTCCGCGCCGCAAGATCTTCTTCCTATTTCCAAGCAATTAGACTTGTTCTTCGAGGGTGACTACCGACCGGCCGAGACGAAACCAACGGGGGGCAGGTGCCGCGTCGTATGAGAGTAGCGCAATCCACGTACAGACAAGGTAATTTTTCGACCTTCAGTCACCTCCTCGGGAAGGACTCGCAAAAAGTCGAGAATACAAGCATGGCTCTCGGGGCTGTCGCTCAGTGACTGGACGACTGAGGAGAGCACATCGTTCCAATCCTTCATCTGGATCGCCAAAATCGCCAAGCACACGCATAGTTGAACTCGGATGGGCTTGGGGCCAGCGGCGTAGTGCTTCAAGAGGAGCAAAATTTGGTTTCGAAGCGCTGGCAGCTCGCTAGGGGGAACCTGAGTTATGAGATCGTAGGTAATCTGGTATTGTTAGCAGTCCGAGGACCGAGAATAGCGAGGGCGGCAGAAAAGGAAGAGGATTGTTTAACAACCTTTCCGCGAAGCGTGATGGCAGCAAAAAGAGTCGCTTCGGGCTCAGCCTTGGATTGGAGGATTCCAATTACAGTCCCCCAAGAGTCCTTCTATAAACGCGATCACGGTTAGCAAGCCGAGGTCCGGTGAATAAGGAAGGCGAAGCGTGGGCAGCGGATTGCGACGTACCGACTTCTGGAACTGCTCCAAGTATTCGTGCGCATTCTTCTTTGCTTCCTGTTCCCCGCTTCGCATCGTCATGACGGCTCCCAAAACATCTGACGGCGCAAAGCCCGCCTGCGTGCCATTTGCAGCCATCTCGGGCTGTTGCGACTGGGCGCAAAGAGAGAAACGTGGGAGCTCAGAGAGAAACTGGTGCTGGGGGAGCTATTTTCGCGCGAGCTTGGACGGTCGAGAAACCAGCGCTCATGAGCTAGCCTTGGACGTCGTGAGAGACCAGCCGCTGAGGAGAAGCAGAAACAGCCAGATCTGTCGTGGGCGATCGCTCTCCACGCACAAGGGGCAGCGACGAGGGGAAAAGCAAATGGACCAACAAAACGAGAGAGACCCCGAGTGCAAGCTGGCGGGCTGGCGGACAAGAGTCGCAGGCGTCAGTCTCGGTGCTTTTGGGTCTGGATGACTGCTCCAGGCAAAATCATGGAGTCGGCCTTGCTCTCTGGCGAAGTGGCATGGGGGGCTTTCCAAGAGGCTTGACTTGGCGGGGCAATTCTTTTGCGGGCTGCCTGCGGGTTTTTCCGTTTCCGGGTCCCAAGCTTTGCTGCACCATGTACTCGGCGTGCCTGCCATTTTAGTATGGGGAGCTTTGTACCTGATAAAGCCTCATGCGAGTGGGCGAGCTCCAAAGCATCTGAATGAACAATGGACGCGATACTGCTTTGTGATTATCTCTGAAAGACTGAAGGAATTTTCATAATTTCTCTTTCTCTTTCTCTTTTTTTTTTAAAAAAAATAAAGACAGAAAGAAAGCTACCCAACAAGCTGCAGCAATTGTACCTTTGCGGCAGACTAGCTGCGTAAAGGCACTAGGAGTATACTATAGTCTAGTCCGCGAACAACAATTGCATGATACTGATGATAGCTTCTCCGTTAGACAACTTAAGTAAGGGGCGATTGTACTTTTCGCTATGGTGATTTATGTTAATGAAGTGATTTACAATGCTGTAATTGAAACTTGCGTTTAGCGTGGGCATGTTGTTCCAGGCTAAGCATTGGTCGCTGTGTGAAATTGATGATGCCCTCCAAGGATGACTGATGGCGATGATGTGGTTGAGGGGAAGGCAATTCTTTTCAAAGGAATTGAGACGAAAATCATAAATTTACAGAGGAAGCATGTAGGCATGGAATAACGGATGAGGTTGAAACTTGAGACAAGAGAACAAATAGATGCGGCAACAAACTAAGCCAACTGCTTACATGTGCCTAAAGTACTAGTGAAATGAATGCTCTGCATGTTTAAAGAGCCAGTGTCGCTAGTATCTCTTTTTTTACTTGACTATCGCTACTATCACTACTATCAGAATATCAATAGTGTATTAGAAGTAGATCCAGGCATCTGAAAGAGCAATGGCTGAGATTGGACATTGATGCTCTCGCTCAACCCTGGGGTTTCAGAGCTTGCCGCCATTAATACCGAGCAATCAACTCGCTTAGCACTGCTCTACGGAGTATACGCCTTCTTCCACTCTGACCATACATATGCGACTCTATCCTCGAGATTCTGCATCGAGCGCGGAATGATTCGATACCGTACTCCTGCGCTATCCAGCATACGGCAGAACTCGTCGTCGTACTCGGTCCAATCTTGGAGGTCTCTTGGCATCAGCCTGACTCCATCACTTACAAGCCAAGCTTCCACCGTTTCGCATACAAATACGAGAGACTCTGACATTCGATCTCTCAGCTCTTTCCAGTACTCAGATGAAATCATAAGTTCCACGGCTTCGCTTCCAATATGACGAGACGCGTATATGATGGGATCCAGTCCAGAACGATCCGATATGATCCAATCGTTCTTGGTTAGGGCCTCTCGCTCCTTATTGAACTGGGCTTCCAATATGAGTGTCTGCAACTGCAGGCACCGGCCCGGATCCGAGGTGATATCACTGGCTGTAAATCCATGAATTTTTAACACTGAACGCGCCACCTCTTTAACGATGGCGGGGGTTGTGGAGCTGAATGGCTCCCGAAAAGCATTTTCCAAGGCGTTGACGAGTGAAGTTTTGCCTGTGCATTGAGCGCCGATGATGTAGATGTTCTTTGGGGTGAAGTTTTGCAGCGTGCTAGAGCCTCCCATGGTGCTGAAAGAGTTCCTTTTATTACTAGGTATATGTATATGCCTACACGACAGAGGGAAAATGGAGGGGGGGCGCATGTTGACAGGCGCAGCGATACATCCGTATTTTATGAGCTCATTATTGGCATCTTCATGCGGGAGGCCTTCCAGAATGTACGTATTCACGCATCAGGTAAGTGCGGAGAAGATGCTGCCCATGTAACCACACTTTCCATCCAATGGTCACAAACGGGACGAAATCCCTCTGCTGGTATTTAATTGACAAGAGAGCCATCCACTAAAAAACACATCAGATTGAATTTTATGTCCTTGCTGCCGGAAATACACCACCGCGAACGCTTGCAATATTTGAAGCACGAAAACAACGAAGAGGCCAATCATACATGCATGTACACTCGTCAAGATGCCTTCAGCTTCGGCCAGTCCTAGGTCTTTTGAACATGTTCTCCTCGACAAAATTTCCATTGATGACGAAAGATGGGAATTCAATATATCGAGGCTTCCAACTGCCGAATCGGCAAACAGGCTGAATCTCATCAAAATGGTCAGCCTCTCGACAAAAGATTCGCGCCATCGTCTTGAGCTCCGGTACGGGCCAGTAGATATGAACCGTGCTATTCAAGATGTTTCCTTGGACAAATACCTTGTGGTGTCGCTCGCTGAGTTTCACTCTATCAAAAGCGCCAATTCTCCATCCACGGTCGAAGGAAACGCCAGCAAGGTGATACAGCCAACAACTTACAAGGAATGTTCAGAATATGCCGTCAAGTTTCTTCGCGCCGGAATCAGTATACAGGGAGTGCACTACAACTTCTATGGCCATAGCAACAGCCAGCTAAAGTCTCGAACTTGCTACTTTTTGGCAGCTCCCAAAGAACAAATCAGTCAAAAGATTGAAGGGCTGGGAGATTTTACCAAGATGAAGACCGTTGCAAAAAAGGCAAAACGAATTGGACTGCTCTTCTCAGTCGCACGCGCGGCTATGAAAGTAGACCCGAAAAAGGTTGAAGACATTCCAGATATCGAAGTAGGAGACTACGTTTTCACAGATGGCTGTGGCTTGATAGCCCCAGCACTGGCCAAGGAGCTTTCGAGACGCACAAGGATTGTTTTTCGCAATATGAGATATACGCCTTCTGTATTTCAGCTAAGATATCGCGGATACAAAGGAGTGGTCACTTTGGATCCCGCCATGGCACAAGGCGGAACTTGGCTCAAAATGAGAAAGTCGATGAAGAAGTTTAGCGGAGGCGACGATCTATCCTTCTCTGTCGTAGAATACTCAAAGGTACGTTTTGCCATCTCTTGGCCATCTATTTCCTTTTCATATACAGTATGTATGGAAGCTGCCTGCTAATAGCATCATGTTCTTTTACGCCAGCCATATGTATTCGGGCATCTGAACGACGAGGTAATTGTGCTTCTGGATGCCTTGGGAATTAGCCGGAAGATCCTCCTTCAAAAGCAACAAGAGCATTTCAACTTTCTAGCTGAAGCATACCAAGACCCGCGAGCTGCATTCCGAGTTCTTTGCCACCTCGACAGGCCAGACCTTGCCGAGCGCGTTATTATTGATTCGTTGGATGCCGTGCGGCCATCCATCAACAGGCTCATCAATGCGGAGTATGACAAAATGCTAAATAAACGTGATGAGCAAAAATGTCGCATTTTAATCCCAAAATCAAGACTTTTATTTGGAGTTTGTGATGCTTGGGGCGTGTTGAGGCCCGGCCAATGTGCTGTCAAAGTCACCATGGACGGCGACGGACAGCCTTATGCCTTAAGAGGCACGAAAGTGTTGGTGACGCGGAACCCTTGTTTGCACCCGGGCGATCTTCAGAAGCTTGACGTTGTAGAAAGGCCAGAGCTCGCACATCTTGTTGACTGTATTGTTTTTCCAACGACGGGGCGGCGACCAGCCGCAGATATGATGTCGGGAGGAGACCTAGACGGTGATACCTTTTTCGTAACGTGGGATCCGGACATTATTCCCTCTACAATCTCGCAAGCAGCACATTATCCGGGAGTTCGTGAGCCCCTAAGATTCACGCCAATTACAGATGATGATCGCCTACTCTACTTTGCCAAATACACAAACGCATCGCTGGGCCGTGTCAAGAATCTGTATCTCCGGTGGGCGAGAGCAACTAACGCCATGAGCTCTCAGTGTCAAGAATTGAACCGACTATTCTCTCAGTGCGTGGACGGCAATCGTATCAAAGATAGCCAGCTTGATAAATTTGCGAACCCACCAGAGCCAGATGCAAAGGCGCCCCCTTTTGTTCTCGACGAGCTTCACGACGCAGCCAAGGATATTATCGCAAAGCAGAAACTTCAGTCACGAAGCCGTACGGATAGTCTGGAAGGCTACACTCTTGACGCGATTCAATTGTTGCTCTGTAGGGATGATATTGCCATTTCTGAAGCCGAATTGATCAGGATGGCAGTGAGGTGGTGCAGAAGAACGAATACTTCCTTTTATCATTTGCTGCACATGTTTGACCTAAATTCACTCAACTCAGAAGACAAATCGTGGATCTTGGCTCAAGTGCCTACATATGTCGATGCCCCAAGTCTTGTTCTCAACGCTCTCTGCTCATCAAGCCTCCTCACAGAGGCGGAGCTAAAACACTTCCATCTAAACTATCCAGGCATGCACTGGAAGCGTGTTTACACGACCCAGCAAGATCGACCCGCTACGTTCATGGAAGCAACGTGTAGAAATCTCGAGCTATTTCACAAAAAGATGATAATCTTTAGACCAAATGAGCGACTGACAGTAGCCATGTATGTTCCGCAAAAGATCACTCCAGCTGACGATTTTGTTGTTGGCAGCAAGGTTAGGCTGTTTGCGTTCCCGCATTCTCAGGGAAGAGAGACACAGAGCCGCCTCTCTTTACCGACGAAGAAAGAATACCGGCTTTTCTGCGATCAAAGTACATTGCAGCTATTTGAGGGCAAAAGAGGCAATACATGGATCTACATTGGCCGTGGAGGGTCGAATGATAGCAGCTACCGGAATGCGCCTGGAGAGACAGACCGCCGGAAAGCGAGACAAGAGTCCCTTGACAATGGTACGAATTTTGACTTTAGAGCAAGCATTGCGCTGAACAAGTTCAGTAAAAATCTCCAGAGCCATGTAGGACGGCTACATAGGCAGGGTATATCTGACGCCGTAAGTTTATCCCTTGAATAACGCTTCCTGCTTGAGACACTGACTCTCGGCCGGTATAAAGGAGATTTACATCATTAGTAATAGAGATGTCAGCTCTATGCGCAACTTGGATCTGTGGGAAGACTACATTGAGACAGAGCAAACTCTCCCCTTATTCCCCCGCGAGCCCAAAGAATACGATGTTCCAAAGCTTCAAGATGTCGATTGGTCTCTCGGTGCGCAGCCTCCGCTTGTAGTTGAAGTTGTAAGGAGGGGTAACATATCGGCCCTCCAAGATGTGTTAGACTCTGCGACTCTGCGACAGTGTTTCCTTTGGCTGGTACAGAAGGAGCTGCGAGGGCTGCTTACACGCTGCTTCAATCACTTAATTACGAGCATCAAGGATGATAAAGTGATGGCACCAGCAGACACCCTTCGCACCATGGTCGAATTTACAGAAAGAATGCCGTACGTCTCCGCGACGTTTGCTAATCTGGGTTCGTGGAGAGAGTTACCAGAAGAGCTGAATACCATTCTTCAAAACGAGAGCCATAGATTGCTTCGCAGCGTTATCCTATCTGAAGCTGAATTTGGAGAATTGATTTTGGTACCTTTTCACACCATCTTGGACAATGTGGAATGGTTAACGCTCTCCTCGTTTTCCGACCTTGTTGAGCTCATTGCCCTTACAGTTCATTCGCCGAGTACAGCTTTGGATCTCCTCCTTGAAGGTCTCGACCAACAAAGCTCCAGGTTGCTAACTGGTCGACCAGCCATCATTCAGCACTTTGTCCATAATCTTATCGGCATCGCTGTGGAGCATATCGGGGCTGTAAAAGAGGAAGCCAAAGCTAGAGATGAGCTTCTGAGCATCCGAGTCATCAGTGATGAGAAAGGAGCAGGACAAGATCGGTCTGGCACTCCAGTTGAAGTATCTTTCAGAATAGATGCCCCTGGTGGCACTCCGTTGGCAAAAACTCATGTACGCCTCATCGCAGCTAGCCCGCCTTCAAGCTCGATACTGGATAAGACTTATTCGATGGACGGCCTGGTTATAGAGAGCAAGTCGGGGATGGCAAAGATACGCTGCTTTCATCCTCCACCATCGTATGCCGAAAGTTGTTCCTGGATTCTAGAAGAATGCGGCTTATATGTAACTGCAAAGACGATGCTGGACGCTGTGCTGGACCTTGGGACAGATGATGACTGCTGTGGAGTGATTGACCAAATCATTGGAATTCAGCCTCAAAGTATCGCCAATACAGCTCCTAGGGACGCAAAGGACACTTTAATATCAGGCTTGACATTGTCTGAAGCAGATGCTTCATTGAACACAAGCCAGAGATCAGCGGTAGAGGCGGCACAAAAGAACAAGCTCATTTGTCTTTGGGGTCCTCCAGGAACCGGCAAAACACAAACCATTGTCGCCATCATTAGAAAGCTCCAGCAAGACCCGAACACCGAAAGAATCTTAGTCACTGCTCCAACTCACAATGCCGTGGACAACGTTATGAGAAGATACCTTGGGCGAATCAGCAAAGAAGGTCTCCTACAAAGCCCTAAAATAACCCCTCTGCGTGTCTCGACCGAAGTCCGAAAAGTAGGCGAAGATTTACGAAAGTACACATGCGATGCATTGGCCGGCCAGGAAATATACTCCAGCCATGCCGCCCAGCGCCAGGCTAAGCAGCGTGTGAAAGCTGCTCAAATAATCTTCACGACGTGCATTGGGGCTGGATTGGGTTTGCTTCGAGGCCAAGTGTTTGACACGGTGGTTGTCGACGAAGCTTCACAGCAGACAGAGCCTGCGTCGCTTGTGCCGCTGGTGAAAGGTTGTCAGAAGGCAATCCTTGTGGGCGATCACGTCCAGCTGAGGCCGACGGTACAAGAGTTCTCGCCTGCACTGAATTTTGATATCTCGCTGTTTGAGCGGTTGTATACCCGACAGGGAACAACGCCTGGCATGGCGAAGATCATGCTGGATACACAGTATCGGATGCATCCATCTATATGCGACTTCATCTCGAAGGAATTTTATGAGGGCAAGCTATTGTCTGGGCTAAAGGACAGCGATAGACCAATGCCGCCGTCATCATTCGCCTGGCCAGATTCCCTCGCTACTAATACCTCATCATCATCATCATCGTCTGTCTCTCGGATGATCTTTGTCGAGTGTTCTGGGAGGGAAGATCTAGGGCACAAGTCCAAATCCAATAAAGAGCAAGCAGACCTGTGTCTTTCAATTTGCAAGCTCTTACGCTCGGCTCCAGCTCCAGCAGCATCTTCCGCTGAAACCAGTGTCAATGGCGCACAGCCCACTGGCGAAAATAATGAGAATACTACTTCCATAGCCGTACTGACACCTTATTCACGACAATCGGAGATTCTCAAAAAGTTGCTTTCGGGAATTCCAAACGTTGAAATCTCCAGCATCGACGGCTTCCAAGGGCGCGAAGCTGACATTGTCATTTTCGTCACCGTCCGCTGTAACGAGAGCCGGGAGATTGGGTTTCTCAAGGACTTGCGTCGCATGAATGTGGCACTTACTAGAGCGAAGCTGGGGCTGATTATTGTAGGGAACAAGGCGACTCTGACGGGTGGAAACGAAGAGGAAGAAAGCACGGGGGTTTGGAGGAGGCTCATGGGACAGCTTTCTATCGTTGCTCTTTGAAGATGTATCGTAGTAGTATTATCAGGGAGGATTTATCAAGATTGTATAAGAGCAGGCCGGCAAAAAATGGCAAATAGTTCTCATGAAGCGCTTACTGATTGAATATCCGGTGAAAGCTTAATCTGACCATCGCCTAGAATCAAACCGTGCAGCTTCCGGTCAAACTGACCCATAGGCACTGGCGCATCCGTCGCCGGATCGAGAAGCTGCTCCGTGAGAGCCAAGCCGTAGAAGCGCAGCAAAGGGCCACTGCTAGCTTCGCCCTCATCGTGAGGCTTTGCAGCCAAGTACCTGTTCAGAAAGAAATCGTAGAAGCCTTTGCCGTGGCCGAGTCTCCGTACACAGCCCTTGTCGTCGGTATCAAACGCGACGCCCGGCATGAGTATGAGGTCCAAAGTAGACTGGTCTGACTTGTGCACGTCCGGACCGCCGAGAATGCGCTGCCGCTGATGCACCGTCGCAGGATCGATACTAGGAATACCCCAAGAATCTCGCTGGAGGCCGTCGTAATCTTGGAGGTCCTGCAGCTGCACCATGTCCATAACGCGGGCGGGAGTCCCGGGCTCATCGAGGGGCGACTTGTGCAAGTATGGGACAAAGACCTGCTTTCCTAAGCTCAGGGCATGGCGGACGATGGCGTCGGTCTGGATCTCTCCGACAGGCATGGAGAGATAGACGCTGATGCGTTTGGCATCCTGGTAGGGCTTGAAGTTTTTAAGCGTCTCAAATATTGTGTGACCTGGTTTAAAATGAAAAAGAAAAAGAAAAAAAGGAAATATTAACTTATACTGGCCAGCTATACTGAGGAATGGAGATAGATGGGTCATACTTTGGCCGAGTACGGACTCTTGGGAGACTTTGGAGAGTCTCTGCTTGATAAGGCGCCTCAGCTGCTGTTTTGCGGCAGCCACGGGAGAGGCCATGGCGATAATGGCTGTTTCAATAGATGTATAACTGCAAAAAAAAAAAAAAAATTGAATGGCTGAGATGGGACTATGAATCAACTGAGCACATGTAGGATTGAATATGTCGCTGTGAGATTTGATTTGATTTTGCGGGGAGGATTCGGATCGGAGGGCCCGTGAGCCGGCGGCCGGGATTTGAGCCCGGACAGAAAGTGTCAGTGCGACGGCACTAAGAAGATCCGGCTCGGGCCATGGCAGACGCAGGAATGATGGAGCTGGAGCTGGAGCTGGAGCTGGAGCTGTATGTGCGTAATGCACGTAATATGCATGATGACGATGGCGCAATGGCACATGAGAGGAAGGGGAACGGTTTTACTTGTGAATGTGAATTGTCGTGTAGAGTTAGAGATGGTGCTTGTGTCCCCTCGGGCTTAGTATGCTTGTATGGATGATATCAAACAGCCATTGTCATTTCTGTGAGACCATCTGCAGTATATCCGAGGCACAGAACCATGCTTGTTCCCTCTGCCAAGTCCATCTGTCCAACCACCACACCAGACTAGATCCTGCTTCTGAGTCAAGGCTATGTAAATGGCTAGCCTGCTGCATGTCTCTCGTGTGTCACCGACTCTTCGGAACCATAATCGCTCAAGTATCGAATCACGCAAGACGGTAGCCAAGTGCATGCAGGTTTGAATCAATGCTTTCAATATCGGCGCATCGGCTGCGAATTAGAAGCCAAACATTGCCCGCGGATGCATCAGGGTTGGAAATCCCCAGGCGCCCATTGGAGGCTGCTGTCAAGGGCTGCTAAAATGATATAAATTGCCAGGCACACGGTATGACTAACTCGATGGGACTTTTGATCCATCGCCTAGCCGCGTCTGCAGGCCAGATTTCCAGGCGACACTGCAGATGCTATTGGTGGTAATGAATTAGCTCTGCGATATCAGTGCACATGTAATGAGAGAGAGAAGGGACCAGGCAACAACACCACCACCAGCGCCTCGCAGGATCAACTGCTGTCTCAGCATCGTCACCAGACCAGATCTCGCAGCGCACCCTCTTCGCCGTTCATGGCAGCTACAGCAGCTCTAGCGCACCATCACCCCACTGAGGTCATATTTTTTCAGCCCCCTCTCCCCCACCACCGCACGCATCAAGCAGAAAAAATCTCCATCCCACAATCGCCAATTCACGACTAGATCCTCCCTCTCTGTACCCACATGCGCTATCACAGCTTTCGCTTCCTCGCCATCGCCCCGCCATGGGCCGCCGAGCCAGCGAATCCAGCGACTTGACGACATCGCATGCGAGCGATTCTTTTGCGCACCAACATGGCGTGGCGCTGCAGACCCTGGCTCCAGCACCAGCAATAGCAGCTTCAGCTTCAGCTTCGGCATCAGCCGCCGTCTCTGCCTCTGTCTCGGGCCCAGACTCAGACTCAGTCGCAGTTCCAGGGATCCCCGTCCAATCCCGCCCCCATTCCCAATCTCCTCCTCGTGCCAGAACTTCTTCTTACTCCTCGGTCTCCTCCTCTGCCTCCTCCTCCTCTTCCATCATCCAGCATGATAGCTGGCCCTTCAATCTTGGGCTTGACGAGGCTGTAGCCGAGCCCGCTGCTGCTTCTGCTGCTGCCATGGCCTCCTCCAGCAAAGCCTCGAACAAAGCCCTCGCCAAGGCCAAGAGCGCAACCGCCACGCCGCCGCTGCTGCCGCACGATGGCCGTCGATCCGAATCCTCGCCCTACGGCTCCATGGACTTGACGCCGAACCGCAGCCAGTCGCCCTCCGGATCCGACTCCGCCAGTGACCGCCGGCGCCGGCTCCGTCAAACCCGCTCAACCAGCCGGAGCGGCCTCTCCAAGCGATCTCTGGCTTCTCGGCGCTCGTCCCGCAGATCGGAGGACTTTGATGGCGCGGCGCTGGTCTCTGGCCTCGAAGGTCGCTTTGGCATGCCCGAGGCTCTTTTGTCGACCGTTGTGCTCGACGACGAAGATTTGACCGAGGAAGACGGACCACTGCTGGGCGATGCCTCCTCAGCCTCGTCCTCGACCGAGATCCCGTATCGAGAGGCCGAAGAGAACTCCCCAAACGAAGTCGTTCGAGCTTCCGTATCACCAATTGACGATACGACACTCTCAATAAACACCCCTCGCATGTGGTGCCTGTCCATCCTCTTCTCCATCCTAGGCTCCTCCACCAATTTGTTTTTTTCTTTGAGATACCCCAGCGTTGCCATCACCCCGGTTATTGCCTTGTTACTCGTCCATCCTCTGGGCCACCTATGGGACTACTTATTAAAGCGGCCGTACGACCCCGAGGAGGAATTCACCGACGGCGTTCGAACTGCCGTGTCGTCTCACAGCCACGATGGTGGCCATGACCAAAAGAAATTTCTCACCTCGTTGCGCCTATGGCTTGCTCAGGGGAGATGGAATGAGAAGGAACATACCTGCGTCTACGTGAGCAGCAATGTTGCTTTTGGCTTCGCCTTTGCCACGGATGTCATTGTCGAGCAGACGCAGTTCTACAACCAAGACGCGCCCATTGTCTACCAGCTGCTCCTAACGATATCCACGCAGATTCTCGGCTACGGCTTCGCAGGCATGGCCCGTCGATTCTTAGTTCGCCCCAGCGGTATGATATGGCCAGGGACACTCATGTCCGCCGCAATGTTTTCCACTCTCCACAAGCAGGAGAACAAGCCGGCCAACGGCTGGACCATAAGCCGCTGGAAATTCTTCTACATCGTCTGGACGTGCGCCTCCCTCTTCTACTTCTTGCCGGGCCTCCTGATGCCCGCTCTCAGCTATTTCAACGTCATTACGTGGTTTGCGCCAAAGAGCGTCGTCCTCGCAAACCTGTTTGGCGTTTCCTCTGGCCTTGGCCTCTTCCCCATGACTTTCGATTGGGCCCAAATCACTTACGTCGGCTCCCCTCTTCTGGTGCCCTTTTGGGCTGCCATGAATGTCATTGGTGGTCTCGCCATTGTCATGTGGATTATAGCTCCTTTATTCTACTACAGCAACGTGCTCTACGCCTCTTACATGCCCATCCTCTCTGCCGCGGTTTTCGACAACACAGGCAAAGTCTACGAGGTCAGCAAGATTCTGACTCCCAATTTCCTCTTTGACAGAGAGGCCTACTCCAACTACAGTCGGGTCTTTCTCCCCGTCACTTATATGCTCAGCTACGGCGTTCAGTTCGCCGGTCTCGCTGCTCTCCTGACACACACCCTATGCTGGCATGGCCAAGATATCTGGCGCACCTGGAAAAAATCCCTAGTCGAGGCGCGAGAGCAGGGCAAAGAAGGAGGTTATCAGCACGTATCCGGCTCTGCCGACCATCTTCCAGCAGGCGTCACGCAGCCTCAGGGCACTCCTCGAGTATCCTCGTCGGGGTCTTACATCGGATCATCCCACATAGAAGGCCTAATGAGCCACGAAGACATCCATAGCCGTCTTATGAAGCGGTATAAAGATGCTCCCATCAGCTGGTACCTTCTGACGTTTGTCTCCATGGCCGCCATTGGCATCTTTGTCGTTGAATAGTGAGCATACCATTTTCCTCTTCGTTAGCACTCAATTGATCAAAAACTAACCCCCCTTTCTTTTCAGCTATCCCGTCCATCTCCCCTGGTACGGCCTCCTCCTCGCCCTCGCCATCGGCGCCATCTTCTTCATCCCCAACGGCATCATCATGGCCATCACCAACCAGCACAGCAGCATCTACCTCATCTGCCAGCTTATCTGCGGCGTCGCCTTCCCCGGCCGCCCCATCGCCAACATGGTCTTCGTCACCTACGGCTACATCTCCTCCGCCCAGGGCATCAAGTTCGCCTCCGACCTCAAACTCGGGCACTACATGAAGATCCCGCCCCGCATCATGTTCCTCGTCCAGATCGTCGCCACCCTCGTCTCCTCCGTCACCCAAATCGGCGTCCTCAACTGGATGTTTGCAAACGTCAAAGGCATCTGCACGCCCGAGGCCGTCAACGGCTTCACCTGCCCCATCGCCCGCGTGCACTTCAACGGCTCCATCCTCTGGGGCGTCGTCGGCCCCGGCGAGTTCTTCGGCTCGTCCGCCATCTACCGCTCCCTCGTCTGGTGCTTCCCCCTCGGCGCCTTCCTGCCTATCCCGCTATGGCTCTACAGCCGCCACAAGAAGCACAGCCTCATCCGAAAAGTCAACCTGCCCGTCATCTTCGGCGCCATGGGCTGGATCCCCCCCGCCACGGGGCTCAACTTCTCCGTCTGGGCCCTCGTCTGCTTCCTCTTCAACTACCTCATCAAGCGCCGCGCCAACGCCTGGTGGGGCAAGTACACCATGACACTCAGCGCCGCGCTCGATTCCGGCCTGGCCTTTGGCATCGTCATTGTCTTCTTCGTCTTTATATATCCCGGGTGGATGAAGGACTTTAGCTGGTGGGGCACCGAGGTGTATAAGCAAGGATGCGACTGGCAGGCTTGCTCGTACAGAACGGTCAAGGAAGGCGAGCATTTTGGGCCTGAATCATGGTAAACAAACAGAGAAGAAAAGGAAAGGGGGGGGAATAAAGAAAGAAAAGAGAGTGGCACATAATTAACGATTGAATAGATATGACAATTTTTTGGGGGGACAACTATGTATAGAATTCATATCGAGGAGTTTTGGATATGCTATGATTATGTATTACAAGCTAGCTAGCTACTCGCCATCAGAGCGTCACAAATTACCATTACTACAAATATTACGATGATAGCGACATAGCCAATAAATTCACACAAAAATCTCGTTCATAAACTTCTTCAGCTTTTACATACTGGCGTATTCAATTGCAGCAATCAAGCAGATGAGAGCCACAAAGAGGGGACACGGCATCACGAGGACTTCTATCATTGTATAGTCAACTCTTTTTGTAGTTTAAATTATTTCTCATGGCGTACAAGGAAATTACTATTCAGCTCTCTCCTCAAATCCTTTCAATGCTCGTCCAATCCAGAGAACTTTCTATACTATTTATCCTCTCCAACCAACCTCATTCAATGCCCTTTATTTTGTTTACTGCTCTGCTTGCCACTCGGGATTCTATAAATGAATGCGTTAGTCAATATGCTCTACTTGTACGTATCAAATCAGGAAGAGGGGTTCAGAACTAACCTTTCGCAGAATCACCAGGCCCTCCAAGGTATTGGTAAGGCTAATGTACTCCTCGTCTTCCAACTCTGCTCGATCGCCGTAACTCAACAACACGGGTGTGCTCTGTGTCTGCCATCCCGTGATTGTCTTCGGCCGACCAGCCTGGCCAACAACATCTACTGCCTGACCGACTCGGACATTGACCTTCAGGGGGTTCAACTTCTCATCGACGGTGACAAGGAATCTAGGATGCATGGCGGGGACGAGGAAGTAGAGCAGATAGTGCGAATTTGAGGTGATGAAATCCTTGGGGTCAAGCATAGCCACCATGGTGGCCAACAGACCAGCCGTTGAGACAGGGGAGAGCACCTGTCTGTCAGAGTGGAAGGGGTTCAGGGAAAGCGTTCCCTTACCCAGGTGCAGAAGACCCTGTGCGATGCGCACCATGAACAGGGCATCCTGATCTCTGTGGTAGTAGCTTGCAAGCTGTCGGAGCAGCTGAGCCAGTCGAGCGTTGTTGGTGCCAGCGCCCAGCAGACCCATTGCGAATATGGCGTTGATAGCTACTTCGGGATCGTTGTCGTGACTATACCTTGAAAGCGTATCATAAACCTTCATCTGTGGGTTGCTTGGGCTGATCAGGCCCATTGCCAAAGGCACGGCCTTGCGAATGTTGGGTTCACCGTAGTGCATAAGATGGCCAAATTGTCTGAGAACCATCTCCTGGCCGACCTCCTCACCCATGGCGACGAGGGCAATACCTAAGACTGCATATGCTTGCAGCAGTTCGTCGCCTTTCTTATCATCCGATTCTTCCTGGTGCTCGTTGCAGATGTGCAACAGCTCCTGGATCTTCAGGACGGCACCAGTACCAGCCCAAGCGCAGATCTCAGCCAAGACTGCGGTCGGCTTGGCCATAGGATGATCCACGGCTTTGAGTGTCTCAAGAATAACATCCACCTCTTCTTGCCGGCCAAAGAAAAGTAGACCCAGACCCAGACCCAAAAATCTCGTCCATTTGTTAGTCAGCTGATTCTTCCGCTCGTCATCCATCAAAGTTGTAATGATTGCTTCGCTCACTTCGGGGTGAGATGTACCGATGGCAATCAGACCACACGCCAATGCGGCCATGGCGGAGATCTGCATGTCCTGAGTAGAATCTGCAATCATGGGCATGAGTAATTCAATAACCTCATCTTTACTTGAGCCAGCGTAAGCCAATCCAAGTCCCATCAAACAAGCAGTGCGAATAAGAGGGTTGTCGTTGTGAAGCTTGTCGGCATCGCCCAGGAGCGCAATAGTAGGCTCGGATTCTATCCGAACACCAGAATTCATGATACCGATGGCAAGCATGGCACCAGCGGTGATCTCCGGCTCCGAAGCATATGTGTACCGATCAATGCTATCCAGACCATTCTCAATGTCCCACATCAACAAAGTGCCAAGAGAGGCAACAGTTGACATCATACCCTCTCCCTTCGTCTTCCACACCCAAGCCTCCTTCTGGCTCTCGACAAGCATCATCTTGTCGTTGCCGAATCCAGCGTTGACAAATGCGTTGACAAAGGCAGCGGCAAGATTGTGTCTGGCGGAGTCCAAATTGGTCATTCCGGCTACGCGGCTGCTCTCCAGGTGGCTCTTGTAGATATCTTCCGTGGTCTTGGGGTCGAGGATGTTTAGTTCCTTGCCCAGAGCTTTAAAGTGATCCGACAGCTTAATGTTATGGAGGCACTCAAATAACTCCGGGTCGTCGCCCTCGCCCTCGCTGATCATTGGCAGGATAATTCTCTGGCGTGAAATCAAAAACGCCAGCTGTTTCTTGAGCACGGGATCCTCTGCCTTGTCGAAATCTTCCTGCACCAAGTCGATATCGTGTAATCGGATGGCAAGAATAACTGCTTGGGCGAATTGCTTATGGTTGATGTAAATATCGTGGGCGACACGGAGGAACGTCTCGTTATCGGGGTAAGTCAACAGGTTTACCATGCTGACCATGTACAAGCAAACTCTGGGGTAGGTGTTCTCGTCAACAAACTCGTTAATCTTCTCGATGATTTCCAACTCGCTCATCAGGTCCACTGCGTCAGCCTCCTGGTTGCTCTTGATGAAGAGGGGCACCAAAACCAGCGCCAGATCGATAAGATCCGCAGTGGGCTCATCGGCCGTGATACGTTTACTGTACACCTCTCCGATTTCGAGGGCCAAGTGCCGGACATATTCGTGACCCCATGAACCAATGTCGGTTGTGGGAGCCAAGAGTCGGTACTTGAGTGTGTCTTGCCTGTCCTCATCGGAGAAGGTCATGCCAATAACGGACAAAACGTCCGCCAGTGAAACCTTGTTTTCATCGTTGGGCCACTCCTCGTAAAGCTTAGTTAGGGTCTCGTAGTGTGGTCGTAGGAACTTCAGCGGCTTCGGTACTGCTGTCATTGACGATGTGGAAGTCTTGATCGCGCTCTTCATCATCTCAAGGGCGGATTTGTACAGGTTGCTGTCGGATTCCTAAGTCAAACAAAAAGGGTGAGCGTCTGCAACTATTCCCCATCCAAATGTAACAGCTGCCCCTCTTCGTCCTTCTCTCATCTCCCTCCGCTCATCTGCCTGTATATACGGAAATACTCACTGTTAAACGCTCCACCATCATGTCCAGCTCGCTCTTGAGCTGCTGGTCTTCTTCGCTGAGCTCCTCTTCGGTCGCTAGAACCCCTCAAGTCAGCCATCTAAACACTCGCAGTTCCGAAGAGCGGGGGAGCGTCTGGATCCAAGGAATTACCATCTTTCTTGTCATCTTCCTTCTTGCCATCGGCGGCAGTCTTCTCGGCCTTGGGATCATCCACGGCCTTGCCCTTTCCTTTGTCCGTGGCCGCCGCCGGCTTTGGCAAATCGCTGTCCTGGGCCATGGTGACGTAGAGAGATGATTAGGCGTCTATGATGAACCCCCCCAGGCAGAATATCGGGGGCAAGGTCGGATGTATGGTGGTGAAACTGGAGAATATAGCTGATGATCTATAATTGTGCAGTATCGGAGCTCCGGGGACGCAGGCGGTCTATGTCGTGAGCGGAATCGGGTGGAAGCTTGTGAAGTAGGCTGCTTGGTAAAGCTCTGGCTGGGCTGAGGCGCTACTCTACCCACAGCTGCCATGGGCTATTACGCGAGGCGCTGCCGCCTACAGGACAAGCTACGTACTCGGAACCCCAGCCTTATGATCACGTGCCCTGGCAATAAGAACAGAGCTCGCTAGTATGAACTAGGGCTAGCGACGCCATCCTGGCTCAATCTGACCTATCGATAAGATCTTGGCCAAATTTCTTTCATCACCTTACTTGGGTAGACCCCACCAACTTTTTCAAAGGACCCCTCCGCTATATGAATGAAATAGACAAAAGATACCCGCCTACAAACAATTTCCAGGCCCAGTAACTATTTTTTTTAACGCATATCGGGAGAGTTTCGTCATATACAGTCCATATTGCCAGCCATGAAGTTGGATACCAGAGCAATGCGCCATCTGGCGTCCGAGGACTGGCGAGTCCTCACAGCTGTACGTTAAACGTCAACTCACATGCAAAATATCAATACATACATATACATGTATACAGCCTGTATATATCGGGAACACACCACTAATCACATCCCTTCTCATCGCAATAGGTCGAAGCAGGCAGCAAGAATCACGAAATCGTGCCCACGCCTTTAATAGAAAAACTATCCCGCCTCCGAGGCGGCGCAAGCGGCGTCCACAGGAGCATCTCTACCCTCGCCAAAGTCGGCCTCATCGCCCGTGTCAAAGAGGCCAAATACGATGGATACCGCCTGACATATGGAGGTCTTGACTACTTAGCACTACACACTCACGCCAGCCGCAAAGATGTCTACAGCGTCGGTAACCGAATCGGTGTCGGAAAGGAAAGCGACATCATGGTTGTCGCAGATCACTCCGGCAAGCAGTGCGTATTGAAGATCCATCGCTTGGGACGAATTTCTTTCCGAACGGTAAAATCCAACCGAGACTACCTAAAAAACCGCAATGCGCAGTCATGGATGTATCTCTCAAGGCTCGCCGCCATGAAAGAGTACGCCTTTATGAACGCGCTCTACGAGGAAGGCTTTCCAGTGCCGTCACCCATAGCGCAATCCAGGCATACCATCGTCATGTCCCTGATAGACGCATTCCCCCTTCGACAAATAAGCGAAGTCCCCGACCCAGCCTCTCTCTACGCAGAACTCATCTCACTTATCCTCCGCCTGGCGAGCCACGGCCTAATCCACGGCGACTACAACGAATTCAACATCTTGATTAAGGAGATTAAATCGACAGCTGAGGATGGCACAGAGTCTATCAAGCTCGAACCAGTTATTATCGACTTTCCACAAATGGTGTCTATGGAGCATGTGAACGCTGAAATGTACTTTGACCGAGATGTCAATTGTATCAAGCGCTTCTTTTTACGTCGATTCCACTTCACTCCCACTCAGCCCGGGCCTTTCTTCAAAGACGCAAAGAAGACTGTCGGAAAGAACGGACTCACGCGGCTTGATGCTACCGTAGAGGCATCAGGCTTCACCAAGAAGATGCTGAAGGACCTCGAGGCGGCCATCAAAAAGAAAGAGGAAGATAAAGATGGGCAAGAGGGAGTAGAAGACGAGGAGGATGAGGACGACGATGAAGACAGCGACGATGAAGAAGAGGTAGAAGATGATGATGAAGGAGAGGGGAGCGGCAGTGGACAAGAGGGTTTGCTAAGCGATGGTCTGTCTCAGGGCCTCTTGCAGGATGAGCCGGCCATAAGCAAAGTCAACCAGGAAATGGCGGGGTTAGCCGTATAATCTGTGTTTTATTCAAAATCTAATGAATCAAGAAAATGGCAAGCGAAAATTAGAAGTCATACTCTTTTAGAGGCACGGTAAAATACAGGATATGGACACTGGGGTGATGGGATATTATAGCTTCATCATTGTGTGTGTCAAAACGATACTAACGCCGCCAAACTTTTGCCACAGCTACCATTACCTAGACTCTAAAGTACACAAGGCACATAAAATGATCCCTCCACACAATGTGATCCCGCGTATCAGCTATCCTCCGGACTAAAAACAATGTTTTCCGCCATGGCATAAAACTACTTTGACTGTTGGGGTAAGTGGTCCCAAAAAAGTCCAAAACAAGTAGTAGTAGAGATGTTAAAGCAGCCGGCATCATATTATGGCACAAAAGTGCTGACAAAAAAAGACAAAAAAGGAATTGAATGAGGGCGGCATAGCATTTACTGGGATTCCTTCTTCGCGGCTTCCTTCTTGGCAGAGGGAGACGGCTGGATGTTCTCTTTGCCGGAGGCGACGACAGTAGCTGGCTCCGCTCGAATCGTGACACTCTCATCGCACTCAGACGTGGTGGGAGTCGAAATCGTAGCGTCGGCGCTCGTAGTCGCCCTAGCGAAAGAGTTAGAATTTAGCAAAAGTGCTTCGTTTATAGGCGTACGCAGATTGTCCACGAGGGATCACTGAGCTTCGCATCACGCTGTCTTCGAGCGACGACGACGACGACAGGCCGCTGCGAGGGTTAGCAGCCGGACATGACATTAGGTGTCAGAAGCAAACCTTCGAGACGGGGGCAGATTGCGTCGCCATTGGGATTGCTGGTTGTACAAAGCAGGGTTCAGGCCAACAAGAGGAGTACCGTAGGCGCCAATATTGTACTCATTGGTGCGGAACTGACGACGCTCGGCGGTGACTCTCTTGAGCTCTTTCTGAGCTGGGGTATCAGCGTAACGAATGTTCATCGGAAGGCCTTCTTCACCGATGCCAATGCCGTTGAACTTTCGAACGATTTCGTCGCAAATCTCCCGAGAATCAAATCTAGGCAGCGTCAGAGAGAGAATTGCAAAAGGTGAAGTCTGGGCATCTTACCGAGCAAAGCCGACACCGCGACTGTTTCCCATGCTATCACGAAGGATTTTGCTGGATTGGATGTGGTATCCAAGGAAGATAGTCGCAAGTTCCTACACAAATGTTAGCAGCAGCTCTACAAAATGGCTTCATCCAAAACCTGACTCACCATTTCGTTCAAGCTCTTGGGCAGGTTGGAGATGTAGAGGTTAGTAGAGCCATCATCGCCCTCCGCCTTGAGTCGAGAATTAAACGATTCCTACCGGCTATTAGCTAAATCTCCCGTAGAGAGCGTCGAGGAAGAAGAAGAGCATGGTTGAATCTTACCCGGGCAAAGCCAATCTCGTAACCAAGGCGGTGGAAAGCTCGAATGCACAGTTCAGAGTCGCGAACATCGTAAAACTTGGCAAACCCGAATCTACATCATGTTAGTATAGGAAGATAGGAGGTGAGACAAAAGGCTGAAGTGAATAGTACTTACCCCTTGCAAGCTCCAGTGTTAGTGTCGATGATGGCCTTGGACGTCTCAACAGCGCCAAAGCGAGAAGTAAAGTGATACAGAAGCTCATCGTCGGTGGTGGGGTGGAGGCCACGAATGTATACATTGCGGTTTCCTGGGATCCGGTTCTCCAGACTCTGCTCAAGAGTCTTCATCTGGCCGGGTGGAGTGAACACAGCTGGTACGGCCTTGGGAATAGCGGGCTCTTTCTTGAGAAGCTCATCAATAGTGCGGTCCGAGATGACAATAGGCATAGGCTTGCCAGTTTCAATGGGAGCAAGGCTAGTAGCGTTGGGAGATGGAGTCGTATAGGAAGACCGATCGAGACTAGCCACTCGAGGAGGATAGTCGCGAACAATGGAAAATGCACCGCCGTAGTACGGGGTGGCAGGGGCAGACTCTGTGGTAGAGTATGAGCCACGACGATTCTCAAGGCCTGGAACATCAGAGTGGCCACGATCCACACGAGGCTGAGCAGTACCCGGGCGACCAGGGGTAAAGGGCAGCAAAGGCGCTGAAAGTCCGACGTACGAAGCACCGTAACCGCCTGGAGCAACTGAGAAATTAAGATATGGGTTCTCGTTGGAATGACCAAGTCCCATTGGCTGGGCGGCTGGGACGGGAGTGAGGACGAATTGGCTATCCGAGTTTACCATGAAAGCATGGCCTGGTCCCATGGGGATGGGAGCCGCACTACTGGGCATACTCATGCCGCCAAGCGTCATTCCGTTGAAGTGATTAAGAATTGTGCCGGGATCCGCAGCTCCGTGGGAGGCTCGGCCGGTGTAGTAAGGATTAGCAACGCCGCTGTTGGCTTCCATTTTGGATTCGGCAACAGTTTGGAGATGGTAAGACATGTGATTGCCTGTTGTAGACGAGATTAGTGATACGTTACAAGGTAAATGTGTATATCGCCAGAGATTGATCCTTCCTGTTGAGGATTGATGGACAAGAGCATAAGATGTCTGTAGATATTCCCAGCATAGATCACTACGTTGCCAAAAAGCCATATAGCTCAAGGCAAGCTGTTTGGGCGAGCAGGGAAGAGCAAAGAAAGGCACTGATTTGCCGGACTGGAGATATAATGAGCAATCAAATGGAATCGGAGATGTCTTACCCAAAGAACAACAGATCGGTCACTGTAGTGATCGAAAGAAAAATGACAAATGGTTCGACTGTACGACGAAAATCTTGAACCAACCAAAGAGTTAGCATCGAATGATGAGCGTACCCAAAGTAAAGCATAGCAATACGAAGAGACAATCATATGTCGAGCGGACATGAAGATAACGAGCGAGAGACGAAGATGTCATAGAAAGTAAACAGAGGAGATGTAAGGAGCAAGATCACGATAGGGCGAGTAGAGCAACAAAAAGAAGGGCATTCTGAATGGTCCATCTACCCGTTGATAGATGCGGGGAATTGATGGCAAAGGATGCTGTGTCAAGGCAAAGGACGAGAGAGGCTGAGGGAATCAGAAGACTGGGAGCGGGGACGAGGCATTCAAAGATATGCTCACCCTACCCAGACTTTGGGTTTACGTGGTGTTGCAGACAATGAAGCTCGAGGGCCAACGAAGGCAAATGGTGCTACCAAGACAATTGAGATGAAGCGAGAGTAATTAAGATAGAACAAGCTATCAAGCAAGATGAAGGTGATGAAGAGATTCGACCGTGGCAGAAGGCTGGAAGTGAGTGACGAGGAATGTGGCGATGTGATGCTGTGAGGAGGAAGAGAAGAAGAAGAAGAGAGAGCCAGAAGAGAAAGACATGACGGTTGAAGTGTAGGCGAGAATGGCAGAACCAACTTACCTAAGCGATGTAGCAACGCGGTGGCCTCGTAGAAACGGAAGCCGCCAAAAATTAAAAGCCCAAGAAAGAGGAAGGAGTCGTTATGATAAGCTATGCCAAAGAGTCGGAACCGATGATGGTGCAGGCGTGATGGCGGCGAGATCCGAGGCCAGAATTACCATCAAACAAAAAAGGACGTGTGTGGGGGAGGAAGAAATCGCGAGGGCGAGAGGAAGCGAGAGATGACGAAATACTCCCCGAGCCAGAGCAGAGCTGATTTGGCAGGCCGGTGCTTGACAACTGCCAGCTGTTTGTCGGTTCGGGCCTTTTGCCAGCTTGTTGATGCCAAGTGCCTGCCAACGACCTGCTGTTTCTAGGGGCAACAGACGCCTCGACTCGGGAATATCGATGCAGTGGGAAGTTTCTGGATGACGCTTCTGAAACGAAAATCGGAACTTGCGTGTCCCTTTGGCTTTGGCCCAGAAGAGTGCTGAGAGCAGCAGGAAGTCGGTAGGATATCCCCTAACTACCAGGTATTTTCGTTTCTTCAGGTCTGCGAGGACGAGGACGGCACTTGGACGTCGTGGAACTTAATCTTCTCAGTGTAAGTCCCAAGCAGATGGATTAATGCTTATAAGTCTTCTCTATGCCTGGTACTGATAGCTCTGGATAGTCCCTGGCCACTGTCTCACAGGGCTGCAAAAACGACCGACGCTGCTTCGAATTCGAATCCAAAGAATGATTCTTCCTTGGAGCGATTACCTCGTCTTCCTTGAGACTGTCCTTTTACTCCAAAGCCAAGATGATGTCTCAAGCGACCTTCGAACGCAGGATTGGCGAATTATAGTAGTATTATGCAGAAGAGATAATACAATGCGACTACTTCAAGCATATATCACAAAATGCAACACGCTGGTCAACGAGGCTCGAATAACTAAGGTATAAAAGCGCGATATAATCCAGGAAGACTGGTCCAAATAAAGATGTAGTCGATCAAAATAGGGCACTCAATATTGAAAGGAAAAAATAACGAGGGACAATAGGCATATTCTTTGAGAGGATTTTCGCTTTGGCATCTTGCCCAGGGATCCTCTCTTTATAAGGACGCACATGATGGTGGAATACAAGTAGATCTGGCCTTGCACTGATATGGGTACTACCAAGGTAGGTGAGTGCATGCATTAATGCTACCGAGCCAGAGGGTTGCTTTTTCTCTCTTTATCAGACATGCATAACCGTGGTTTACCATTTGAAAGAAGACAAGGTATATTGGCCAACCGGATTACTGGACTCTGATGAGACAAGATCCATCTTGTTCGGGAGACTTCCCCATGTTGCGCAAATGCCTACAAAAGGGTCCTTTATCCACTTGACAGCCCCAGCCAAAATGCACGGGGTGTACGGCAAGCCAAGGTGAGTCAACTTGCAAGCCATGGGTAAAGCCAGCTTTGCCGTCCCATTTTACTGAGACACGCTGCTTTGTCCACCGGCCGATCCAGTGCTATGGGGGAAATGTTGCTTTTTATGGTGCTATAGCAAGACTTTTCGGGCTATTGTCTCTCGCAAATACCATCTATATATACCTACACTAGGATTATTTTTCCTTACTACAATCAACCCAGCGCAAAAATCGGAAGCCGGTCGTAGGATACCAAATACAGCATCACAGAGGCTACTGAACCCAATGAGGCATCTCTTTGCATATGATAGGATATTCCATTCTGCAAATCCCGATATGCTCGCATTTTCACGCCGATTGTTAATTTAATTCTAGCGTTGAGCCCTTCGAGATACCAGCTATCTTACCAGATGCCCATTTCCCCAGGGACGCGGCAGGGAAGTTTACGCAAGGAGAGCAGCGCAATCCCGCTTATCTCCCTGGCCAACAAATGGCCAATCCAAAGCCACTACCCTAGGCAAAGCGCCAACTACAGTAGATGCTCAACTTTGCCACTTATACACTTTGTTGTTTGAAAGGAAAAGGAAAGAAAAAAGCAAATTGGCTTTCAGGGGTCACGAGCGCCTCAAACATGCTAGTTTTGGAGGCAGCAGTGGTGGCTGTGGACATGAGACCTGGCATTTATGCCATGTCTTAAATCGCCCGTCTCGGTGCACACAAGTTACATACGCGGCCAACAGGATGCTATGCATGGCCAGTACCAGTTGTAGCCTACTTATAAAGGGAGATGTTGTAATTACAGTAAGAACCCAAAGTAATGGCGTCCCGATTGACCTATAATGTGACGTTCCAGGTTGACGACGCACACTGCTAAGATGCATAGGTATATGGCATATACAAGTTTGGCACATGATATCACGCATAAGAATTTGAGAATAATATGTAGATTAAATCTGTAAGTGTAGTATTTTCATAACCATCCGAGCCTGCACATTCGCTGT